TATAAATTATTATATATAATATATTATAAATTGTATCTTAAATAGCATTCATCAAAAAAACAAAAAACAAAAATTAAGTAAATTTAAGTTATGTTATTAAAAATAACAATTTTTTTCAAATAACAAAAAAAAATGTTTTATAATATCACAAATTCAATATAATAATTAATTTTTAATTACTGATTGATTGTTAGTTTAACATTAATTTTTGTTGTTGTCATCAAACAAAGTTATAGTTTTAATTTTTTGAAAAAAATAACAATTAATTAAAAAAAAGTTTATAATATTATAGTTTATTTAATTACAACTTTAGTTGGAGTTTTAATTATTAATTTTTTCTTAAAAATATTTAACATTTGTATATACAGTATATATATATTTTGAAAACAAAAATTTTTGCTGACTAATACATTTAGTTTCAAGCATTTTTTAAAAATATATGTTTATTATTAGAAATTTTTGTCTTATAAGTAAAAATTTAAAAATACAGTTAACTTAAATTTTAAAAAATTAAATTATCTTTTTTATTATTATTATTATAAATACTGTAAATTAATATCTCATATAATTATCCTGAGAGAAAGAGATAGAGATATTATTAAATATGATATATTAAAATACAATAAAATATTTTCCCATAACTTTGTCGACACACACACACACACACACACATACAGATAGATTTCATGAATTTTTTTATGATTTATTTATGTAAATAATATATTTATATATATATATTAGGCAATTAAATGATATTTTCTGGTAATAATAATAATAATTTATTAGAAAACATTACAATATATACTGTATATGTGTGTATGTGTGCGTATGTGTGTGTATGTGTGTGTGTGTTTGTGTGTGTGTGTGTGTGTGTGTGTGTGTGTGTGTGTGTGTGTGTGTGTGTCTGTGTGTGTGTGTGTGAGTGTGAGTGAGTGAGTGTTTGATAATCCCTGAACTCTCAAATAGTTATATATATACAGTATATATATATATTAAATATAAAGTATATAACACTTTTGACACACACACCAAAAAAATCATTAAATCAATTGATAAGCCTCTCCTGTCTCCGGGTTTCTGTGATTTAAATATGGGAACGGCATCTCACAAAAGGGAATGGGATATATCAATGGGTTTAAAGATAGTTTCCATTAGTAGTTATAATTTATTACATTTCTCTCTCTCTCTCTCTCTCTCAACAAATAGCCCCTAAAAGCGGGGCCTCCTCTTTTTTTTGCTAAACATTTAAAATAATAATTTTTATTTATTTATACAAATTTTGTTTAAACATTTTTGTTTTCTAAATGATTTATACATTTTTGTTTATAGTAGTTGATTATTATTATTATTATTATTGTATAAACATTATATGTATCAATAATTAATATTTTATGATAGTTATTATAATAATATATAGTTTAACTGTGGATAATAAATTGCAATTTTTATTTGTAATATTTATAAAATATATATATATAAATATATCTTATAATCAATTTTTTCTATATATCTCTAATTATATATATATTTTTAAACACACAAAAAAATCATTAGCTATTAACACAATTTTTTTTGAAAATTTAGTGAATTTTATTTTTTAACTATTTGTGTTTCAATGGTTAATATTGTGTTTTTATAAAAAATATTTGTTGAAATAATTATTTAAATTATTTGAAAATTTTTATCTTTTTTTTTGTTGTTTTGAACAAATATTATCATTTAATTTGTTGTTTGTTTGTTTGTAAAAAGTTTCACTTACTTTCAAAAAATGTTTTTAAACATTATTTTTATTTTTGTATACATTTTATTAGTACTGGTAGTTGTAGTGATGATGAGATAACAATCATCAATTGACTTCAATATACATATAATATGTGTTACATATATATATATATATATATATAATATAATCTACAAGTTCTGGCATATAATGAACTCATTTAATCTATCTCTCTCTCTCTCTCTCTTTCTCTCTCTTTCTCTCTCTTTCTCTCTCTCTTTCTCTCTCTTTCTCTCTCTCTCTCTCTCTCACTCACTCTTTATCTCTCTCTCTCTCTCTCTCTCTCTCTCTCTCTCTCTCTCTCCCTCTCTCTCTAACTTAAAGTTTGTTTAGCTCATCATAATATGTCTTTTCCCACAATTTACATCATTGACTAAACTAAACTAATACATCAAAAATATATTATACTATATATATACACTGTTAGTCTCTGTATTGTATGTACTGTATGTATGTATTTGTGATATATATATATATATATATATATCCAGAAATAGTTTAATCTGATATAGCAATAGACATCTCTAATGTTATTTATTCAAAATAAAAACAAATTACAATAATTATACTTCAATAGTAATAGTAATTATAATAATAGTCTACTTGTATTTTATAGATGTCCCTGAAGTATGTTTTTTAATAATAATAAAAAAGTGTTTAACACATAATAATGATAAGTATCAATAAAATAATAAAATCTACTGTTAAGTTATTTTTCCAAATAAATTTATTTACTTTTTTTTAAAAAAACATAAATAATTTAAAGTCAATTAATTTTTTTTATTCAAATTTTCTTTATATGTATTTAAAATAAATATTACATTTTTATCTAGTTTTTAAAATCTATTTTTAAAAAATATACACAAATATACACATAATTATTATATTTAGTATATTATGGATATCAATATCTATTTATTATATAAAATTATTTCATATATTTTCAAACTTAATAATAAGTTTTATATTTTTGGTTATTTTATATATTCACCAAAACTATGTATATGTACTGTATGTGTGTGTATGTATGTATGTATGTATGTATGTGTGTGTGTGTGTATGTGTGTGTGTGTGTGTGTGTGTGTTTGTCGGATGAGTTACAAAAATAAATAAATAAATTAAATAAATAAAACTTTAAATAAAATTTTCAATTATTATCATTATATTTAAATATCTAAATGTAATTATTATTGATGAGATTTTATAAAATTATATATTTTTTAATTTTATTTTAATTTTTTATTTTATGTTTGTGTAAATGTTAAACATTTTTATTATTATGATATATATATATATATATATATATATATATATATATATATGATATTATTATTATTTTAATATGTTATTGTACTATACTATCAATTTAGAAATATTAATCACTGTTAATATAATATTAAACATTTGATATTAATTTTTAAAAATATATATATTTATATAATAATAATATTATTAAAACACAATAAATTTCTATTTTTAGTATTTAATAAATTTTGTTATTTTGCAAAATTAATTGATTATATTGAAATAATAATAATTATCATTATTATTAATATAATAAATTAATTTATAGAAAATAATTTAATTTATTTTTTTGTTGTTGAAAATAATAGTAAAAATTATTAGGAAAAATACTAGAATAGAAAATTTCTAACTATTTAAACAACAAAAAAATTTCATTTAATATCTATTATTATTTTATATTATTTTTTATTTATATTATTGATTCATTAATAGTTTTTTTCCGATAATAAAATCGTAAAAATGTTTTTATTATTATTATTACTACCGTTTTGTCTACATATTGTTGGACTGTTTTATAAAATTATATTATTTAAATAGTTATTTAATATTTATACAACTATAGTATTAGTATTTTTAAAAAAATTAATTAAATCAGTATTAATTAGTATCTGATTATTTTTCTTATAATAATAAATTTTATTTTACTGTATATTTCAATTAAATAAAAATAAAATAAATAATTTTATAACAATTTTTTTCAAAAGCTTTAACAAAAATTTTAGGCATTAAAAAATCAAATATTGCATAGATATGTGAAATATCTATATATATATATATATATATATATAATATATATATAAGATTTATTTTTTTAAATCTAAAAATTTAATATATTAAGAGTTAAAAATTTTCTAGTTTGAGATTAAATATTTAATAATTAATTTCCTGGTTTGCAGGCTATATAATATAGTATATATATATATATATATATATATATATATATATATATATATATATATATATATATATGTATAATACTATACATATAAATATATATAAATTATATTTACCTGATTTTATTTGTTGTAAAACTAATCTATTAAACTAATATATATATATTTAGTACTCATTTTTTTAATCTCATTTTTTTGGATTAAAATTTTCTAAAAAAAATAGAACAGGATTTAAGATAAAAACTAAAATAATAATAATAAAGATTATCCACTCTATTGTCTATATGTTATATACGGTAAAAAATGTTAGACAATACGGTACTTACTTTATTATTATTATTACTACTACTACTACACGTAAAAATACTATTATAATAATCAATGTGTATCTAATATATGTAATATATAGTATATAATATTACATTAATAATAATATTATTAATAATAATTTGTTTGAAATATTATATAATATATAATTTATTTTTTTATTTGATTTACATTACTATTGAATATTATATATATATATATAATATTATTAGTTTTTTTAAGTACAATTTGGTAGAAAAAAATTATTCATTATATTTTGTTTTATATTTTTTGCTCTCTCTCTCTCTCTCTCTCTCTCTCTCTCTCTCTCTCTCTCTCTCTCTCTCTTTCTCTCTCTCTTTCCAATAGACTGTAAAACTACAGTACTGTACCATATATTTAGTAAACTATTTTTAGATATCAACACATACTCTATTGATATACATATAAATATCAAATATATAAAACACAACTGTAATCGTATTTTTCAACTAACTATTCAATACATACATACATATCATACATACAGTAGAAAACAACAGTTTCATCAATCAATACAACAATACATACATAGAGTATATGAAATAAATTACTGAATCAATGAATGAAAAAATCTAAAAATGTTTTGATCATAAAAATTGTTTTTTAACTTTTTTCATTGTTGTTTTTTAATTATTTAACTATAGATAACATATAAATATCACACACATAGTGAATAAGACATTTGAAAATTATAAAAAGCAACAAAAAAACTCTTAAACTGTTAAAAAACATCAGTGTGTCTATCAATAGAAAAAAAATGTCATCCCTTTCCAGCCAACCGTGCAATGGAAGCAATCATAGGATGAGGAGGAGGACAGTCATATTATTATCATCCATGTCTAAACAATTGTTAACAACACAAAACATACTACTGGTGCTGATGATGATGTCGTCTATCAGCATCAGCACCGGCAGTATTGTTGTTACCGGTAATGCCAACAACAACAACAATGATATACATCATAATTATCATCGAAACGACAAGTTATCGTCAGGTGCTGCTGCTGTCGATGACATCCTAAACAACAACAACAACAACACTGATAATCACACAACAACTTCATACCAGACACTGGGATCAAAGTGGAGGACAGCCCAACAGGAGGCGGAAAACAGTGTGTTTAATATAGTCAATGGCCAACTACCCATGGACAGGGAGATCAATATCTATGTGCTCAGTGGAGAAGCTAAAAGGTTTGTTAGGTTTTTTTATTGTTGTTTTGTTATAAAAAATATTTATAATAATAATTTTGGATATTTTTTTTAATTTTAATTTAAATGCTTAATATTTGTGTTAATTAATTAATTAATATCATATATTATTTTGTTTTTTAAATAAAACATACCAGTGCTTTCTATGTATGTGTGTGTGTGTCACTACTACTACTAAAAATTTAGATATATCTATTTTTATCATGCTGATTTTTTTATTTAAAAAAATAATTATTATTATTTAGTATTGTTTTAGTTTTAGTTTTTTTTATATATATATACACACAAAAAGTCAATGAACTTGAGTTTCAATATTTTTTTTTGATATGTTTTGTTTAGTTTTAGATATTATTTATTTATTTTTTTTGTGTCTACAATTTTCATCAGTATAAATAATATTGACGTTTTTTTCAACAAAAAATAATAATAATAATAATAAATATACAGTTACTATACTGTACTGTACAATACTACTAATGTATATATATATATATATATTAAATAAATATTATTAAATCATAAAATACACAGAATATTAATTTAATTATTTTAAATTTAAAAATATCATTCAAAATATATTACAATATTGTGTAATTTTTTTTATTTAACTAAAATTTTATCTTTTTTAAAAATATTGAAAATTAATACATTAGATATTTAAAATTACTTATAAAAATTATTTATTTAATTTGTTTAAATTTCATTTTAAATTAAGCATATTAAATTTTATGTTGTTTATAAAAAATATTTTTATAAAAAAATAGTTTGCAATAATATTTAATTTATTTTTTGATACATAATATATTATTTTTTATTATATTGATGTTGATATATACTAGTTTAAAATAGTAACTATAATTATTTATTTAATATAATATTTTAGGATAAAAATTATATATATATATATATATATATTTATATACACTTTATTGATAATAGTTTTTTTTGTTAATTTTTTTTGTTGTTGAAGAAAATAAAACTATGTTTAGATTTATTATTATAGACAATAAATTAGATGTTAATGCCATTAGTTATTTATTTTTTATATTTATTGATATATGTATATACTGTATATACAGTATATACAGTATATATATATATTATATATATATTTATACTGTATTTTTAAACCTAATTTGTTTATATAGACATTTGTGTGACATTTTGTTTATGTTTGATTAGTTTTCGCCAATATATCAAATAAATATATAAATAAATAATAAATAACTATTATATATATATATATATGTAAATTTATGGGAAAGAGATTTTTTAGTTTACATCAATTTTTTGTATTTATTAGTTTAAAATTTTTTAAAAACTTTTGTTTTATAATTAGTATTAAGTTATACTAATCTTACTTTAATCGGAAAAAAATATCTAAATTACTTAATTAATTTATAATTTATATTATAATTTACTTAAATGTTTTACTCAAATTATCTATATATATAAAAAAAAATTATATACATTTTAAATATATTTATTTAAAAAAAAATAAAATAAATTACTTAATAACATGTTTTCCCAGAAACAATTAAATACAATTAATAGTTTTTATTGACACTTCAAGTTAATACTACTACTACTACTACTACTACTACTACTACTACTAGAAAAAAAACTAATTAATTAAATCAATTTCAGACAATTATTTTAAATTATTTTTTATTTATTTATATATATATATTGTTATTCCAAATAAAACCCATTAGATTCTGGGAAACAAACATTTTTTAGTTTTAATTTAAAAAATACAAAAATAAATTGAAAACAATATATTTATAGCATCTAGTTTTTTCAATAGAAATACTAATCAACCAAAAAAATAATAAAAAAATTACTCATAAATTACTTAATTTTTTTAGTTTTGTTTTTAGTTTTGTTATTACATAAATCAAATAACATGTTTATTATTTGCTTTATATTAGTGAGTAGGAGTCCATAAACTATATAATAACAGTTGTTATTATATAGTTTATAATCCATTATACAGTATATATAATACTATTGATATATATATATATATATATATTGGATGTATTTATTATATTATTAACCCAGACACTTATAAATACAGTACTTATATTATAATTAAAAATAAATATAATTATAGATAGTTTTGTTGTGTTTATAATTAGCTTATAATTTCCAGTAAAAATCTATATGTATTTATTAGCATACAATTACTAACCATTAATAATTAGTAAAACTTTATGTTTTTTTTTGTTTGATTTTGTTTTAGTTTGTTGTTTGGTTATTGTTTATATGTTGTTAATTGAATTTATTTTTAAAGTTTTTATTATTATTATTATTATCCATATTATCAATAAATCTATTTTGTGAACTATAAATATACATTGATTTTGTTTGTTTAATAAAAATTTTAATCTAACCATTAGATAGATATAATAAGATTATTATTATAGTAATATTGAAATGAATTAATTATTAAGAAAAAAAATTATTATTCAAAATAACATTTTTGATACTTAATGTTAATTATGTTAATTAGATAAATAGTTTTTAAATAAAATTATTTATTTTTTTTTGAAATTATTTTATTAATATAGTAATTCATCTTTTTATTATTATTATTATTATTATTAGTATAACAGTTATTATACATTATTACATAACATCAAAATGATTATAAATTATGTACATTAATAATACAGTAAAAAAATTTAGTATTATATATATATCTTATATGACTGTTTTCAATTAGCAATTTATAAATATATAATTTTTTTTTTGATAAATATCATAATTATATTACACTATTTTAACTAGATACAATTTGTCATTTTGATATTTTTTTCATTTTTTTTGCCAAAAAATTTATATCATATAATTTAATACAACATAATACCAAAATATATATATGGCAGTGTATATATATATATATATATAGTGCCAACAAATGTATGTTTTCACCACAAGTTTATATCTGATATAATTAATTAATTATAGTTATAAATTTATTTAATAAAATTCATACATTTTATAGTAATTATATTATAGTTATTGTTAGTTTTTAATTCAACTTTATTTTTAAAAAAATAAGATAATCAACAAAAAAAATTACAATAAATATTTTAATCAATTTAATAATAAGAATAATAATAAATACTACTTATGAAAAATATTTTATTATTTATTCATATATTTATTTTAATTATTATTTAACATATTATATTTAACAACAAAAAATTTGCAGATTATATTATCAGATTCACGAGTCGGGCCACGAGATGACAGTTACGGTAACACCGTGTGAGTCGCCTATTGTCTGGAAACTGTCGTTTTTGGCCCGAAAACGGCCTACAAATAAAGGTTTGTTAAAATTTATTATAATAAATATAATAACCTAATAATAATAATGTGTATGTATGTATGTGTATGTGTATGTGTATGTGTATGTGTATGTGTATGTGTATGTGTATGTGTATGTGTATGTGTATGTGTATGTGTATGTGTATGTGTATGTGTGTGTTTGATGTTAAATAAATATAATACAGTACTAAAATAGTTATTTGTTTTATATATATTTTTTGATAAAATTAAATACATATAAAATAATAAGTTTTTTTTGTTTGTTATATAATTGAGAAAAGATTTTCAAAAACATTTTTTTAAATTATTTATTTTTTTATATATCAAATAAATTATTTTAGAAAAAAATATATATATGTGTGTCGGCAACATATGTTTGCATTTGTCGTTTAACTGTTTTTATTTGACTTTATTTTTATTTATATATATTTTTTTTGATGATTTTTATGCCCCCAAAAAAACAAACAAACAGATCGTCGGTCTAAAAATAATAATAGACGAAGATATAAGAGACGACACAATAAGTTACTGATGGGAAGGAATGGTATACTAAATAAGGCTAAGACTGTCCTATTGGCCAACTATTCGGCCGGCACTGAGAGGACAACCTTTTCAGATATGTCATCGTCAGCCGGTTTGTCCTATTGTTTATTTTTATTAACAGTTATTATTATTATTATTTAAATATAAATGCAATTTATTATATGATAATTTTGTGCTAACACACACACACACACACACACACACATAMACATACATACATACATACATACATACATACATACATACATACATACATACATACATACATACATACATACATACATACATACATACATACATACATACATACATACATACATACATACATACATACATACATACATACATACACATACACATACACACACACACACATACACATACACATACACATACACATACACATACACATACACATACACATACACATACACATACACATACACACACACACACATACACATACACATACACATACACATACACATACACATACACATACACATACACATACACATACACATACACATACACATACTGATAAGTTACTAATTATATAAATAAATTTATAAATATATAACTTCTAATATAAACTAGGTTAATTAAAGCACTTATAAGTTTAAGATATATTTGTTTATTATGAATATTAATTATATTTTACATTTAAGATGACAACAACCCAATGTTTTATGATTGATTACATTAAGGAAATGTAGATATAATTAGTAATATATATATATATATATATATATATATCATAGTATATACTGTATATTAAATTAATTGTTGTTGAAAAAAAACTAGCATAATATCAACTATAATTAATAATTAGTAAATTATGCTATCTATTTATAATAGCATACACAATGATTTATATACAGCAATTAAATTAAATTTATCATTTTTTTCAAATGAAAAAAATATAAGTAATTTAAATTATATGAAAATTAATTTGTTTTTATTAAAAGACAATTTTTTTACATAATTCATATGTTTTACAACAAAATTATATAAATATAAATAAGTAGTTATTTTTAGCTATAAATTGTAGATATTTTTTTCCGGTGAGATTTAAAAAAAAACATTTTACAAAATTAATTGTTTATTATTTAATATTATTTATCAATTAATATTTTTAAAAAAATTTTAATATAATTACATAATGTATAATAATTATGTTTATATATATTTATTTTTAATAATTATATCCAAAAAATTTTAGATTATTTAATTTTAAAAAAAATAATTTAATCAATAATAATAATGTTACTAATAGTTAACATAATTTTCAATACAAAAAAAATAATTTTAAATATTAATTAATAATAACTTTTTTTAAATGTATTTATTCAAAAAAAAATTTTGTATAAAAATATTGATATATTTTTAAAAAGTTAAATATTTTTTTTTATTTTTTCACCGATAAATACATATATACAGGTCTTTACATAATTGATTTCAACTCATTGGGCAACGATGTGGCCGTCAAAGTCTATGTCTCACAACACTATCCCTATCCGTTGGCCCCAAACGACCAGCACATCGATGTCCGTCAAGTAAAAGCCGGTGAACTACTTATCAATTGGCCAATGAGTCCGTCGGAGTCCGTACAGCCTATCGACTATTGTGTAGCTGTCAGTAGTGGTGGTGGTGGTGGTGGTGGACAACGTCATCAGCACCGGTCGGACAGCTGTCTGATGGATGCCTATCTCAGAGGAGGAGATACCGCCACAGATGAACAGTACGAACTGGATCTGATACCTGAAGACCGGTCCAATTCGTTTGCCTATTGGTGGGGAAGGACTGTCAAAAATATGTTACGCCAGTCCCAGTTGCGGGCACTGGCAGCCAATAACGTACGAATAGCTTGCGTTGGCAAACAACGTTGGCATCTGATCCCAGTCTACGACAGTACACCACAACAAGGACAACAACAACTGGCCAACGATTACCGTATAGATGTATACGCCAGGAACAGCCTAACAAATGCTACCACAAAATACCAATCGGTTAGCTATACGATTGTTAACAGTCGTCCATTGGATATAAGCGATGATAATCCGGTGCTTATCAAACTCAACGCTACCAATAACTATACACAACTATTGCATTATAAGACAACGACAACGACAGCGCACTGGGATGTAAATAATACGTCCAGTAGTAGTAATGACCGGACAGCAGCAGCAGTAGTTAGATCTGAGAAATTATGGTTTCTGGTCAACTCGTGTTCGGGTTCTGGACCGATGACTATCAGTGCCCGACTAGTCGGTCCGGATATTGTAGTTAACAACAACAACGGCAACAGCACTGGTAGTAGTAGTGGTGATTCAGCACTGGTAGCTGCAAATCAAACATCGCAAGACTTATTATTATTCACCAAAAACGTACATCTATTGAAAAGCGAAGAGTTTTCAGTGACCACAACAACTACTTCGGCGGCCGAAACTAACGGATCGTTGTTTCTGGTGTTTGAGTTACGGTCGGCAACTGGTATTGCCGTCGACGGCGGCGGCGACAGGACTGTAGTGTTTATGGCCACCAATCGATACAATCGGTTCCCGTTTCCGCTGATGCCTACGGACACACAAATCAAACTCATGTCCACATTGACCGACTGTCAAAGTGTGACGTTGGCTTGGAATGCCAGTCCCGACGATCGGGTCCAGTACTGTATATACTCGCGCAAAGTCGACAATCACTATCAGTCAGTCAACCGTTTGGACAGTGTTTGTCCGTCAATCACCACCACCACTGCTGCTGGTGTTATGGTAGATATGGTGGAGGACAGGGATACGATCGACAACAACAATCAGGGATTCAGGAAAGTCCAGTGCAAACGCTACCAAAAATGGTCGTCTCGGAGACGATTTGGCAATAAAATCATACAATCAGTTAAGCGATTAACTGCTGGTCAGACCTACGTGTTTCAGGTGTTGGTTACCAAACACAGGGGCCGTACGCTGGCCTACGAACAGGTCTGGGCGACTACTAAACAGAGATACCAGTGCTAGAAAAGCAAGCAAACAAACACATCAACTATTTATATACCATATATATATATATAATACATGATATATATACTAAAAATTATATATAATTTATTTTATTTAAAATATAATTATTAATTTATACATTTAAATGTTAATTATATTATAATTATATATATATATCAATGTAAAAAAATATACAGTAAAATCTCATTATAACTTATATACTGTATTTTTATGTAGATTATTGATATCATAGTATTGAAACATTTTTTCTTAAAAAATACATATTATTTGATACACATTTTGATTTTGTTAAAATAAATATATATATTAATTTATAATTAATTTATAAATTTTCTGTATAAAAAAATAAATATTATTATTAAATAGTAATACTCAAGTCATAAATATTATATATATATATAAATAATTAATTTAGTGCCAAACAATAGTATTATTATTATCTGTATTATTATAATTATCATTACTATTATTATGTTATTATTATCATTATTATTAACTTTATGTATCATTATATTATTTTAAATAAAATTTAATAAATATATAATTACAATAATAAATAAATATTATTATTATTAATCTGTTATTAACAAAATTGATTAATATTTGATAAATTTTTATAAAAATAAATTTATTTTTTAATTATTATAGTAAATTAGATTTTACCAGAAAAATACATTTAAAACAATAAATATTATATAAAAATAACAAAAAAGTTTAAATCTAATAAACAAACAAATATTAGTAACATTAGTAAAATAATTAAGTTTTTTTTTTTGAAAAAAAAGTTTTAAAAATTGTTTGAAATTAATTAAATTATATATACTGTATATATAGTTAAAAAAAATATATAGTAATTTTAGATATTTATTGAATATATTTATAGTTGAATAGTTAAATAATTAATTTAATCCAATAATTAATAGGTTCCAGTTAAATCAAAAATCTCATTTACAATATATGTTACAATAAGTGTTTGTAAGTGGGATATAAAATCTGGTTTTTCAACAACAACAACAAAAAATAGGTGATAGGTCTTTTTTTATTTTTTTTGCTTAAAAATATTTCAATAACCAATTAGAGCTAGTTCATTATTATTTTATTAATGCAAAAAAAACATGATACTACAATAAGAAAAAATTTTGAAATTTTTAATATAAATGTATAAAAGTAGATATAAAAAACAATAGTATCAGGGTATTTTGTATAGTTATTTATTTATTAAAAAATGTAAATTATTTAGCTATTTCATTATCATTATTATCACGATTCATATACAATGTCAATGTAATATAAATTAATTTGTAAATAATATGGAAAATAAATTATTGGAAACTTAAGAATATCAATAAAAAAAAACAAAATATTTTATTATAGTATATTATATATTGATTTTTAAATATATATATATAATATATTCAGAAAATAATAAAATTAAACAAAAACAATAGAAATTAAAAGATTTAAAAATAATAACAAACATTTTCAATATTAATACAATATAAGAAAATATTAATGAAAGTTTTATTATTATTATTTTTTTAGGACAATTGTTTCGAAATTAATTATTTCAATTAACTTTATTATTATTATTATTATTATTATAAATTTTATTTTTTTTTGTTACAATAAATACTGAAAAAATAATTAATATATAATACATTAATAATAGATTTATATAAAAAAATAAAACAAAACAAAAACATAAAACTTTTAAAAATAACTACAAAAAAAGTTTTCAAAACAAACAAATATATAAATATATATTTAATTAATTAATACAGTATTATAATAATATTTATAATAATAATAATTATTATTATTATTATTATAAAAACTGACCGCCCGTTACGTTTAACTTAATACCGTTAACAAAACTGCCGCCACTGACCGCACACGTAGGTGTGACCGCCAAAAATACTATCGCATTGACCACTTCATCGGCCGTAGCCGGACGTCCTAATGGTATTGTTTGCAAAAATTCGGCCGAAAATACTAACCGATTGTAAACTGGATTATTGAGTACCATCGGTGTAAGTATTGTACCGGCACTTAATTGTTTCAATAAATAAAAAAAACAAAATTATAATTATATTATATAAAATAAATTTTAATAGTTATATTATATTATATATATAAAACAAAATTGCTATTAATATATATATTTTTAGTTTACAATATATTTATATATAATAAAAAAAATCAATTTAGTTTATATTAGTTATTATTAGTTATATACAAGTATTTAATTATACAGTAACTACTACTACTACTACTACTACTACTACTACTACTACAGTACTACTAACCCGACACAATTAACCCGTACGCCTTTGGGTGCCAACTCCAGGGCCAGACATTTGGTAAACATATCTAAACTGGATTTACACAACATATTGGCTAATACTTCATAGCTCTTGAATTGATAGATAGATTAAAATATTAATTAAAATATAAATAAATTTCTATAACTAATAATATAATATACAGTATATATACATATAAATATCTCTGTCACTCACTCACTCACTCACTCACTCACTCACTCACTCACTCACTCACTCACTCACTCACTCACTCACTCACTCACTCACTCACTCACTCACTCACTCACTCACTCACTCACTCACTCACTCACTCACTCACTCACTCACTCACTCACTCACTCACTCACTCACTCACTCACTCACTCACTCACTCACTCACTCACTCACTCACTCACTCACTCACTCACTCACTCACTCACTCACTCACTCACTCACTCACTCACTCACTCACTCACTCACTCACTCACTCACTCACTCACTCACTCACTCWMTCTCTCTCTCTCTCTCTCTGTCTGTCTGTCTCTCTCTCTCTCTCTCTCTCTCTTTGTTTGTTTTTTAGTGTTGTTTTATAACTGATTCCCTCCCACTCCACCCCCACCTCCCAACTTACGGGTCTTTCAGTGGTAGCCGAGACGTTGACAATACTACTACCTCGGGTGCTGGCCGTCAACAATGGTATTAACAATTTGGTTAACAGTTGATGGCCTCTTAAAATCTTGAGCTCCTGGTCTAATAGATTGATACAATTGGCATCAACAAAACTGGCCACCGTTGAACCGCCAGCATTGTTGACCAGTATATCCAATTGGCCGCCAAACTCGGCCGACACTCGTTCGATTAGTAAATTGATATCCGTGTCCAGCGAAAGATCGGCTTTAACACCGATAGCTTTTTGATGGCGCCGACGGTGGTGGTCACCATCATGTTGTTTGGTGATATCGGTTGCTGGTTGACTGCTGCTGTTGTTGAGGCACCGGGCGATTACAGCGTCTATACGCTTGGTATCTCTACCAGTAATCACAACCGACGCACCCATTGACCACAATTGTACGGCTACGGCCTCACCGATACCCGAAAATAAATAAATATTAATTTAAAAAAAATTAAATTCTGCAATCATGATATTGTAAATTATTATCAATAGATAATAATAATAATAATAATAATAATGTTGTAAATTGTTTTTCAATTATTTTTATTATACTAGTATATTGAACACACTAAATTTTAAGTATATATCATTTACTAAATAAAATTAATTAAATAAAAGTGTCAAGGTATTTTATAAAATTATTTATTGAAATTTTATATTTATAAAAAAATCTCAATTATTTTGCTATTTCATTATCATCAAATGTAATAAATTTATTTGCAAACAATACAAACAATATATACATTTTATATATATACATATATACAATATATATATTTTATAATTGTTTTTAATTGATTTTTAAAATATTAGATACATATGTATATATACTTTATAAATGTTTTATAATTAAATAAAAATTTTATATATTTATTTTTTTTTGTTACAATAAATACTGAAAAAATAATTAATATATAATACATTAATAATAGATTTATAAAAAAAAACAAAACAAAAACATAAAACTTTTAAAAATAACTACAAAAAAAGTTTTCAAAACAAACAAATATATAAATATATATTTAATTAATTAATACAGTATTATAAAAATATTTATAATAATAATAATAATTATTATTATAATTATAAAAATTGACCGCCCGTTACGTTTAACTTAATACCGTTAGTAAAACTGTCGCCACTGACTGCACACTTGGGTGTGACCGCCAAAAATACTACCGCATTGGCCACTTCATCGGCCGTAGCCGGACGTCCTAATGGTATTGTTTGCAAAAAATCTGGTAAATATATAACATCATTGAAGGCCGGATTATTGGTTACCATCGGTGTAATGATTGTGCCGGGACTTGTAGTTTAATTATTTAAAAAAAACAAAAAAATAAAAATTCCTACTAATATAACCCGGTTTATATTATATAAAATAAATAAATTAAAATATATTATTATTCAATATATATATACTATGTATATATACAGTATATAACATAAAATACACTTTAGTTTACTTATTAACTATTTAAATAATAGTTTAAATAATAATTAAAAAAAATAATTAAATAATAGTTTAATTTAGTATAATAGTTATATTAGCTATCTTAGATATATTATGCCATTTAAAAAGTTTAAATTTGAGTTTATTATAAATTATGTAATTAGCTTTTAGCAAGGTACTATAACTATAACTTATCTAATTATTAGGTAACTGTATTTAACTAATTTAACCTTGCTTAAAGCGTAAAGTTGTTATTACTGTTTAATCAATATTGATTGATTAAATTTAAACATTTTTAATTGGCATTATCTAGTGTACAGTAACTACTACTACTACTACTACTACTACTGTACTACTAACCCGACACTATTAACCCGTACGCCTTTGGGTGCCAACTCCAGGGCCAGACATTTGGTAAACATATCTAAACTGGATTTACACAACATATTGGCTAATACTTCATAGCTCTTGATTTGATTGTAAACATACGGTTAAAACAAAATTTTTAAAAAAATTCATTAATTTATATATAGATTAATAATCATCTCTATAATTATAAATAAAAAAATATTATTAAAAAAAATATCTGTTTTTCAAATAAACCCCCTATTTTTGTTGTACCTACAACACCACTACCCACACCCACACCAATACCCACACCCACACCACACACCCCACCCCCAACTTACAGCTCTATCAGTAAAAGCCGATACGTTGACAATACTACTACTACTACCGCTGCTGGTGCTGGCGATAGTCAACAACGGTATCAACAATCGGGTCAGCCGTTGATGAGCTCTGATAAACTTGACCTCCACGTCGAATAATTCGAGATTATCGGTATCCAAAAAACTGGCCACTGTTGCCACACCAGCATTGTTGACCAGTATGTCCAATTGGCCGCCAAACTCGTCGGTTACCCGATCGACCAGCAAATCCATATCTGTGTCCACTAGAATGTCGGCTTTGACACCGATAGCTTTTTGATGGCGGCGTCGATGGTCACCATCATCTTGTTTGGTGATACCGGTTGCTGGTTGACTGCTGTTGAGGCACCGGGCGATTACAGCGTCTATACGCTTAGTATCTCTACCAGTAATCACAACCGACGCACCCATTGACCACAATTGTACGGCTACGGCCTCACCGATACCCGATGACGAACCTTATATTAATAGTTTGGTAATAATAATAATAATAATGATGTTTATTATTATAATAACTACTTTATATAAATGTATAAATTTATTAAAAGTTTTTAAAAAAAATAATAAATAGGAAATAATTTACCCGTAATTAATGCAACTTTATTTTCCAACACTAACATTATTTTTTTTAGTATAATATGTATAAAATACTGTATATAATAATACAGGTAATAATAAAAAACTATTTTATAAATTTTATTAATTTACTCTCTATTTAAGATAAACTGTTTATTATATTATATTTTTAAAAAATATTTTTACTATAATTTTTGTTAAATAGCTTAAAATATGTGTTAACTAAAAAAATAAATAATTATTTTGCAATGATGATAGTGTAGATTATTATCAATAAATAATAATATTAATATTAAATTGTTTTTAGTTATTTTATTTTTTATTTTGCACAGTATATTAGCTATACTAAATTTTTGTTTTAAAAGCATGTATTATTAAAATAATTATTTAATTAATAGTTAATATATATGGTTAAATAGATAATAGATATATATATATATATATATATATATAGTATACTAATATTGAATAAAATTTTAAATAGAAAATAATAATAATAATAATCTGAAATTTATTTCAATACAAAATATTTAAAATAAATAGTTTTTTTTGAATAATAAAAGTTAATATCAATTTAATTATTTACTTATTTATATATGAAAATATTATATATGTCATATTATAGTTGTATCAATTTGTTTTTGTTGTATAAAAAATAATAATAATTTTATTAAAATATTTTATATTATATATATAAATATTTGTTAATAATTTATACTGTATATAAACAAAATAAATTATAATACTATGATTAATAGTTTTTGATAGTGAAATAGCAAATTATTAAAAATTTAATTTCTAAATAATTATTATTAATTTTTTATTATAAAAAATACCTAAAATCTATGAAATTATTTGATTACTTTTATTATTTATTATTTACTATTAATTATTATTATTAGTATTATTACTATTAATTAATTATTAACTATTATTTAGAAACTTATTTAAAAAAAAACGTTTGTATTATTAAAAATAAATGTAATTAATATAATTAATTTTATTTAAAAAAATTAATACTTAACTAATTTAATATTAATAAATATTTTTATCAAAAAGTTATATGACTGTAACTATATTATAATAAATATTTTTTTTATTTTTAAGGTATAATTTTAGGATTTTGAGGATATCGAGAGAGAGAGAGAGAGAGAGAGAGAGAGAGAGAGAGAGAGAGAGAGAGAGAGATTATAACTATTAATTAATTAATTAAATATCTATTAATTATCTATTGTGTGTTTTAGCTTAACTTAAAGGTCATTATTAAAATTAATTTAATTTACTAATTAAAATATATAGATATGATTGTAGATATTATTTGTTGTTTATGAAGTTGAATGATAATAATAATCACGATATTTAAAAAAAAAACAATAATAGAAAATAATTGTTTTATTGTCATATAAAATTCAAAAAAAAAATAAATAAATTTAAATAATTATTTTAAAAATCACCAATAAATTTGTTGTATTATTATACGTGTATATTGTTGTCTAACAATTAGCTTAAATGCTTTAACTATTGTGATTATATAATTTATAATTTACTATTTATATATATATATATATACTACTGATACTAATTAATAATAAATCTATTGTTAATTTTTTTTTAAAAAATACTATATATTATTATTATTATTGTTGTTGTAATCAATCATTTAATATATAATTTTCAAAACAAAATTATTTCTATTACTTTAAATTGTTTTTTTTATATACAATACAATATATGTTTGTTACTAATGCTTATAATCAGTTAAATAACTTGAATTTTCATTAATTAATTCATATATATATATATATATTTATTTGTTAACTTACTGTAATCAATACAAACATAACATACATAACTAATTTTCAACTATATATATATATACAGTATATATAAACAATGATAAACAACAATAAATCAATAATGAATTCAATGGCAAAATCAATGAAATCGGATAATGAAAACCAATTGATTTATATATTGATTGCTATAATTGTTGTCTCGTTTTTAATAACCGTATCAGTTGTTTGTCTTATCTGTTCAATTCAAAGAGGTATTTGTTTTTGTTAAAATCAATTTTTTTTTGTTAATTTATTATTGTTTTGGTTTTATTAAAAAAACTTTTTTTTTAAATATCTATATTATATAATCATCAGAATTATCGTCAAAACTCGATATCAATGATAATAATGATAATAATAGTTTAGAGAGTAGTCGACCACTTAATGTTGAACCTATCAATACTACTGATTAAAAAGTGATATAAAAAGATTTAAATTGATATAATTGATGGATAAATCAGTTTTATTTTTAATTAATAATTTATTCAACAACAACAACAAAAAAAACAGTATAAATAACTTTTAAAAATTAAAACTAATGTATAATATTGTGAGTCGGCTATCGCATAGTGAGCGGTGACCAACTCAATAATCGGGGAATCGGCAGTAAAAGTAATTAACGTAAATACACGCGTTAAGTAAAAAACGGTTTTATTTAGTTATTAAAATATATACGACATGTCGGTGTGAGAGCTAAACGACTACTACTACTGGTGCGGAACCGGTAGAGTAGTTGTTATATCCACGCTTGCGACTGAATTGTAGTGTCGAGCGCCTGCTATCGACACACTCCCCGGCCGCGAGATTCCGGCCATAGGTCGGAACGGATGACCAATGAGATGCTTGTGATTCGGCGGGTAGTAATCGATGTCTTGAGCGCTGACGTGGTATGTTTTCGGTGAACGGCGAGTTATGATAGCGATGATAGCGTAAGAGATGCGATGAATGAGAAACAAACGTTTTCGTGATATTACCATCTCTTACGTTGAATTGTTTTAGACGAAAGGTTTCGTGACCGATCTGACCAACTATACGGTACGGTCCGTGTATGTACTGATTGTTTCGCGTAGAGTGGCTGTCTGGTATGCGATACTCAACGACATCACCGATACGTAAATCAGATGAGCGATACTTATCGTCGTGTCTGACATTACATATTATCGGCGGTTTACGATATCGTTTAGTAACGTTTTGTCGGCATCGGTGGCATCTCTTTATATAGTTAGAGACATCGGTTCTCAGCGTTGGCCACCAATGTTTCGATGAAACCAATCGAAAAGTATGTTCAATATTGTGATGATTGGTGTCGTTATGGAACTCTTTTATTACGTTGGCGATCATCGATGGCGGTACAACTAATTTAGTGACACCACGATATGCTACGTGTATGAGTCCGTTGATTATCTTTGGTTTTCGGATTTTATACGCTTTGATTTCGTGTTGATTGTCGTAAAGGCTGTTATTAGCGTTGAGTTTTCGGTGTTCGTCGGCAGCTGATGTCAATTGAGTAAACGACGGTCGGATGAGTTTATTTACTATCTGGTCGTCGGTCTCATTAATCGTCAGCTTTTCGATAGGCAGAGGTTTCGGCTGTTGAGCTATCGGGTTAACGTCGGTTTTAATAAGAATTGGTTCGGTTGGCAACGCGAGACCAACTACTTTGATTAAGCCCATTGTCGGTATATTTGCGACTTTAATCGAATAGCTTTCGACGTTTCGTTGATTTTTCAAACGTACTTTCGTTTCCATGTCGGCTATGTCGATGCCAACGATAGCATCGTAAGAGATGTCGTCCATTACTTGCATCGACACTCTTGCGGTTTGTCGATCAAGTTTAATATCGACTCGGACTTCGCCGAGAGTGGTCTTGAATCCGGCGACGGTTTTTACATTAATTCCATGTCCGTCGGGTCGTAATTGCAAATAATCGGCTATTTCTTTCGATAGGACTGTCAATTCGGATCCATGATCAATGAATGCTTTAACCGGTTTGTCGTTAATCTTCACATCGTAATGGCGGTTGTCATTGATAACTATAGCGTTGACGGCAGCTGTAGAATCATTTTCATCGGCTGGGCGTGGTGCTGGTGGTTGTCTAGCGTCTGGGCGGTGGCAAAGACGCATCCAATGATATTCAGTATATCCGGATCGGAGACATCGAGGACAGGGTTTTGTAGGTAAGTCGTTGTTACGTTGTTTTCTCGAATCGTAAGGCCTGTCATTGTCGTCGTAATCGTTAATAGAATCGCTATTCGGGTATCGCTGTCGCTTTCGTGTCTCTTCTATCGCTACGGCGATACTAAACCAATCTTCGGGTGATTTCGGCTTCTGGGCGGCCAGATGTGGTTTGTACCAGTCGGGCATACCCTTCGTGAGTAGCCCGACCGCCTGCTTATCCGTGGCCTCGGCTTCATCCAAAAGCCGGCGCATGTCGTTATAATAGGATAAAACGGATTCGTTTCCTCGAAGTCGACGGTCAGATGCTTCGACTATCCCGTGGCCTACCATACGGCCGAAACGGGCGATCATTTTCTTTCGACACGTTTCCCACGTGATGTCTGGTCGTTTGCGAGCGACCTCGCGGCAGTACCAACTGTATGCCTCGCCGGTAACGTGTTTGGCCAGTGACGTAAGTTTTTCGCTATCGGTATAATCGTAAACTAACGAATTGAATCCGTCGATCCATTCGTCAATCGGTACTATCGATTTGTCGCCACTAAACGATTTACACATTTTCGAAGATGTCTTAGCGAAATGAGGCGCATATTGTTGCTTATCGACACGTTTTTCGGTAATTTCTAAACGATTCTTCGCAGTTGTATTCGCATTCACCAACCGTCTGGCGTCGCTTCCATCTTGAATGGCTTGTTCGCGGGCTGCCGCAGCGGCGCGGGCAGCGGTAGTCAATGTGGCCATTCGTTCGGCCAACTCATTGATATCCATATCGGCGGTGATTCCTTGAGTAATCGCTTCGATATCATCGGCTAATGTCGTTATGGCTTCTGCATTATCTTCGGGAATATCTTCGATAATATCTTCGGCGTCGGTGGGCGGCAGGGTTGCCCTATAGGTATTACCAGATCGGAGAGCCATCGATACCTTCTTCGGTCTTTACGCTTCTTTATAAGCTCTAAGTCGTCGCAAAAGTCGGTTAATAAAATTCGTTAAAATAAAAGGCGTCTAAAAACCGTTGAGTTTAGCATTCAAACGGCTAGTCGTAAAAACGGTTAAAAATGGGGTATAAAAATCGGTGATTTTTAGCGTAAATTCGATCTCGGCGACTGCGCCAATTGAGATGACTATCGCATAGCGAGCGGAAAGTCAACTCAAATATCGGGGAATCGGCGGTAAAAGTAATTAACGTAAATACACGCGTTAAGTAAAAAACGGTTTTATTTAGTTATTAAAATATATACGACATGTCGGTGTGAGAGCTAAACGACTACTACTACTGGTGCGGAACCGGTAGAGTAGTTGTTATATCCACGCTTGCGACTGAATTGTAGTGTCGAGCGCCTGCTATCGACACAATTGTATAAATAAAATTAAAAATAATGTATCTATCAATCAATATATATATACTAGAGCTACGCATATTGAGGGGATTAACACATAAATACTTAAGTAAATAAATACAGATAAAGGAATTAATATTTACATATAAAAATTTTCCATAAAATAACATACAAAATAAAGTTAATCAAAATATAATATTTAGTATTAGTATATTTAAAGTAAATATTAATATCATATGATATTATATTTGAACTTAAAGTATAAAATATAAAATGTATTAAAATTTACATTAAAAATTAAATATAAATTTTGCTTTATTATAAATAATATTCATATAAATATTGCTGTGCTTTAGTATTGTTTAGTTGAATATTACAACAAATGTTTGAAATTCATTAAAAATTATTTATTAAAACTAAAAAAAATAATTGTAATAATAATTATAATAAATGTTAACTGTTATAATAATAATACTAATAATTATAATATTGTGATAATAATAATAACAATACAAATAACAACAAGTGTGGTAATAGTAGTAATAGTAATAATAATTATAATTATAATAATAATAATAATAAGTGTTGTAATAGTAGTAATAGTAGTAATAGTAGTAATAGTAGTAATAGTAGTAATAGTAGTAATAATAATACAAATAATAAGTGTTGTAGTAGTAATAATAATAATAATAATAATAATAATAATAATAATAATAATAATAATAATAATAATAATTGTGCTACTATTTTTTTGTAATTGTGATTATAAAAATAATAATAATTGTTATAATAATGAGTGCATTTAATAATAATCAGTTTTTAAATTTTATAAACAATGCTAATAACAGTAGTAAATTATCAGATCATTTATTAGATAAAACAAGTGAATTAATGTTAAAAATAGTTACAAATGATCACAATTTTTCGATACATAAAGGAAAACTCAGATGTGAGATGTGTTGTGAAAGTTTTGATAATTTTGATGCAAAACAAGGCGAATATAATATCAATCGTCACATAAATTCACAGAAACACAAAAAAAATTGTGAATTGAATCAAAACAAACGCAAATCAACTGAAAATTTAAACAAAATTGATATCAAAGACAAACCAACTTTTCTGTTAAAACTAGTTCTTGCGTTTATGGCTGCAAATATACCATTATACAAACTCGAAAACAATGAATTAAAACAATTTCTATTTGATTACACCGGATACGACATCCCATCTCAAAGAACATTAGTTCGATGTGTGGATAATGTTTACGCAAGTACATTAAAAAACATTAAAGATAGTTTAATTAATAGTAAAATCTATGTAATGCTTGATGAGACAGTTGATTGTCTTAAGAGAACCATAATAAATGTCTTAGTTGGGTGCATTGACGGCAAACCACAAAAGCCAATATTAATATCAACACAGATTTTAAATGATAAATCAAGTGATGGTATTTTAAATGCTATGAATATTGCATTAAAAAATTTGTACAATGATAATAATTATCATGACAAAATTGTATTGGTTGTCACGGATCAGGCAAGTCCTATGCTTAAAGCTATGAAAGACGCTAAGAATACGTTTACAAATCTTAAACATATTAGCTGTTTAGCTCATGCATTAAACAGAGTGTGCGATAAAATCCGTGAAACTAATAATGTGGCTGAAAATTTTATGAATAAAATGAACAGTTATTTGAAAAATTCAAATAAAAATAGACAGCACTTTTTATCAAACTGTGTTAATAAATTACCTCAAAAACCAGTGATCACGAGATGGGGAACTTGGATAAAATGTGGTGTTTATTATGCAGACAATTTTGATAAAATTAAATCATATGTTTTATCATTGAAATCTTCAAAAAGACTAATTTCTGATCTTAAAAAATATATACTAAATGATAACTTATTAACTCAATTAAAAGAGTGCAAAAAGTATTATTATTTAACTGATAAAATAACATACTTAGAAAAAAGTGGATTAACAGTCGAAGAACAAATTAAAGTTATCAATGATGTTTTAGTAAAACTCAAAGACAATGAAATTTATTATAAAAAATTGCAAACTTCTTTGGCAAAAAATCCTGATTATAATGAATTTGTAAAGCGTTTACTAGCAAAAACATTACCTCCAAATTATAAATATTCACCATTAACAAGTGTAGATGTGGAGAGATCATTTTCAATGCTTAAAAACATTGTAACTCCAAAAAGATCTAGTTTCACCGAAGAACACATTCAACAACATTGTTGTGTTAACTTTTATTATAATTATTATTTAAAATAAATTGTATAGTATTTTTTAAAATTCAAATTTTGTATACTTAAAATTTTTCTATGTTGTATATATCAAATAAATATTTTTAGTTATAACTTGCCTCATTTGCCTAGGCCTAATATATACTGTATATCTCTATACCTGTAGATAAATAAATAAATAAAATATAATTTTATTGTTATTTTGATTTAATACTACAAAATATCTATAGTGTATATAAAGTTTTTTTTTAAAAATAAGATAATACTGTAAATATCTTATGGATAAACTGTAATAAACTTATTCAATAAATTACTTTATTTTTAATATTATTATTATTAGGTATTTCAATAACTGTAGATTTTTTTTGTTTGTGTACGACTATAACTAGTAGTGAAATATATATATATTTTTAAAAAAAATTAATGATATTTTTTTCGTTGAATTTTTATCAACTATTGACTGTAAAAATTGTCTGAAAGAGAGAGAGAGAGAGAGAGAGAGAGAGACCCGCAAAAAAATGCAGTCAATTATTGTTATACTACTATCGGTGACCATATGTTTCATTAGTCATCAATTGGTGGACAGTAATGATCTTAACAATGACAACGATTTTGGTCACCAATTGTCACATAACTACATCCACTCGTCGTGTCCCGTGATTACCGCTAAATCGACCGATAATGATAGCCCTAAGCGATATCCTCGTAGTTGGCAATGGATTATTGATGGCCATCACAATCTGGCCACAACTTGTTTGCCGCTAATCTATAGACGGCAATCGATGGACTGTTATGTCACACGGAAACAGGTATCATATATCTCACCATTTGATTAGCTAACAAACAAACAAAACTTTTTTTTTATTGTTGAAAAAACTATTGATAGGAATAAAACACTTATTATTTTTTTTTATTTAAAAAATATTTTATCGGTAGTTATCGGTCTCCACACTGTCGGCCGACACTGTTGACCGCCGTCAACGTCCCGACACTTCCGGTAACTATCGCAGGTCAACATCAACAATAACAACGCCATCCGAGTCCTCCACGAAATCGGCAGTTAGTCGTCGTCGTCGTCCTCCTAGTCCTCGACATCGACCTCGACGTCAGCAAACAATGACAACAAAAGCCGTCGGCAAATGTGCGACAACTACTGACATATACTCGCAGTTTATAACATTTATACTAATATTTAGTATACTATTTATACTGACAATTGGCATTGATTTGTGTGGACTACCGTCAAGTGGTGGGCGCCGCCACCGACGCCTCCTACTCATCGATGATCGTCATGTTTTATAAAATAAATATATATATATATATGATATATTTTTTTGCTATTTATCAAAAGTTATTTATGTGTGTGTATGTGTGTATATGTGTATATGTGTGTATGTGTGTATGTGTGTATGTGTGTATGTGTGTATGTGTGTATGTGTGTCATATACTGTACTACTAATTAAAATTAAATTGATATTATCATTTGTTTTTACTAATATTTAAACTATATATTTAAATATTTTGTTTTTAAATTTTAGTTTTTTTAATTAAAAATTCTATTAATATATAAATCTATGTATAAATATATACCTGTATTGTATTGTAAATTTATTTAATAACATAAAATTTTTAATATTAAACTAAATGATACTTTATCTGTGTATCTGTACATTACTACTACTAATAAAATGCATTATAATGTTTAATGTATAATAAAACACACATTTTTTATAATATTAATAATATTAAAAACATACAATTTAATAACTAAATATTAAATACAGGTAATTTATTATTATTTTTAACTAAATAATCTACACTATCATCATTGTAGAGATTTTTTTGTAGACAAACATTTTTGCCGTATTTTCAAATTATTATAAATTTTTTATTAGTATTATTTTTTTTGCTTATTAACTATTTAATTGTATATTAAATTTTTTGTTGATTGATTGAATTTCAACAACTATTGATATATTTTTTTCGTTAATTATTTCATTTATTTAGTTCATTAGTAACTAAATTACTACAAATAGTATATACATAATGTTAGTGTTGGAAAATAAAGTTGCATTAATTACTGGTAAAGTATTTTTATTTAAAATTTAATTAAATTTCAATATAGTAGTAATTATAATAAACATTATTATTATTACCACCACTACTACCACCACTACTACCACTACTACTACCACTACTACTACAACCACTACTACCACCACTACTACCACCACTACTACCACTACTACTAATACTACTATCCTATTAAATAGGCTCATCACAGGGTATCGGTGAGGCCGTAGCCGTACAATTGTGGTCACTGGGAGCGTCGGTTGTCATTACTGGTAGAGATACAAAACGTATAGACGATGTGATCGCCCGGTGCCAACCAACCGGTCTCGTCAAACAAAAAGCTATCGGTGTTACAGCAGATATTTTACTGGACTCCGATTTGGATAGACTAGTCGCTCGATTGACCGACGAGTTTGGCGGCCAATTGGATATACTGGTCAACAATGCAGGCGTAGCATCGTTGGCCAGTTTTGTTGAGTCTCATTATCTGGATCTATACGATCTGGAGTTCAAGTTTATGCGAGCCCATCAACGGCTGACCCGATTGGTGATACCGTTGTTGATTGCCAGCAGCAGCGGCAGTACTATTATCAACGTGTCGGCTACCACTGAGAAAGCCGTAAGTTTGGTCGGGGGTAGGGAATAGGGAGTGTAGGGAATAGGGAGTATAGTGTAGGGAATAGGGAGTGTAGGGAATAGGGAGTGTAGGGAATAGGGAGTGTAGGGAATAGGGAGTGTAGTGTAGGGAATAGGGAGGGTATGGAATAGGGAGTGTAGGGAATAGGGAGGGTATGCAATAGGGAGGGTATGGAATAGGGAGGGTAGGGAATAGGGAGTGTATGGAATAGGGAGAGTAGGAATGGAGGAGGGGGTAAAGTAGAGGTGCATTGTATTGAATATTGAAAAAAATTTTAAGTTTTTAACTTTTAAGATACTAATAATACAACTAATAATTATTATATAATAAATAAAAAATTAATTTTCTTGTATTGGATTTTTAATAGCAATACCAGGCATTGTCTAATATGTTGACTAAAACCAGTTTAGATATGTTTACCAAATGTTTGGCCCAGGAGTTGGCACCCAGTGGTGTACGGGTTAACTGTGTCGGGTTAGTTAGCATTTTTTTATTATATTGTTTTATTTATAATTAATTTATTATAATAATAATATATATATAAATTAATTTTTATCAATTGCTTCTACACTTAAAAAATAAAGTCCCGGTGTAATAGCAACACCATCGCTACTCAATCACCCGGTCCTCAAACATGTCGTCTATTTACCTGAATTTTTGCAAACAATACCATTAGGACGTCTGGCATCGGCCGATGAAGTGGCCAATGCGGTAGCATTTTTGGCCGTAGGCACGGGTGGCGGCGCCGGTAGTTTTATGACTGGTATAAAGTTGAACATTACGGGCGGCCAATAGATTTAGCCAATATTGATATATATATATATAGTTTTAATATTAATAATACTTATATTAATAAATTTATTACAATTGTAATAATTAGTTTGTATAACAATTATTTATATATATATCAAATATATATCATTAAATTAATTATATTATTATTATTATTATTAAATATTTTTTTTAGATTTTAGTTTATTAGTAAGTAATTGAAATCAAAAAATATTTTTTTTGTTTTATAAAATAATAATTTTAATAAATTAAATTAAATTTTCATTAAATAATTTTATTTCATATTAAGTGAATAAAACAAAATGTTACACTGTTTTAATTTATTATTATTATAATTTTTTTATAATAATTTATTATCTAGAAATAAATTTTTAATTAAAATAGAAATCTAAACTTAATTATATAAACAAAACAAAATCAAGTTTTTCATTTCATTGTCATTCATAAATTATGAATCATAATAAAGATAAAAACCAGTTGAGAATGCTAGAAAGCATTATCCAAAAACAAATTTTTATAGATCTAATTACTTGATTATTGTTAATTGTTATAAACAAAATATTTATTCCTAATAACCATTAGTTCATTACCAGTCATATTGAGTCAGTGTTTGACAAAGACAAAGTGTATGTATAATACAAAACGTATTAAACAGTATAATACAATGTAAAATACATGATCGCTCAATTGTATATAGATGCAATTATAAATGCGCGGTGCGGTGTGCGTTACCAAACGCTATGATGAGCATTGTGCTGACATCATCCCAATCAGTGTCGGGGTTTGATATGATGTCATTGGTGTAGTAGTTGTATGCGTCATCACTCAAGAATTCTGCAATTTTGATTACTTTTTCGGCATCGCTAAGGTGACTGTATGCTCTCTCGAATAGTCTCAAGTGTCCGCTGATTTCAATTTTATCGGCACTGCCACTGAATCGCGGTAATTTGAGTTGACGATTAGTATTTTGTGGTCTGTTCTGTGTATTGTCGTTATTGCCGTCTAGTGACATTGTATTTATTACTGTATTGTTACTATTAGATGAGTTGAAAGGTGTATATAGAGGTGAGTCTCGGGTGACTTCACTCTCTGATGGAAGTTGGGGTGTTGATCGACTTCTGTTTCGGAGTGGATAGGTGCGCGTTGCTACATATGTATGCCTATACGGCATGTGTTACTGCTATTGATTTGACGTGGAGTCGGGAATCCTGCCGACTGCGCCAATTATTGCGGTTGTGGACCGAGATGTGTGGGTTATGGGGTGTATGATTCCCGAATCACCACTATTACACCGGTACCGGCCCTTAGAGTAGATCCGTTGCAATGTTATGTGATGTACCAACTGGTTATCAACAGCTGAACTGGTATGTCTTGCTGTGTGTCCGGTGTCCGAGTGATTTCCGGATATCGGGTAATCGGTAATTGGTGTGTGTAATAATTGTATGATTTAAAACAGTTATTTTTATCAATAACTAAATAAAACTAATTTATTCAATTAAAACATATATTAATTAATAAACATAGAAATTGTAGGCAAATAATATTAATTAATTAATAATTTTGACATTGGTTTGAATCGACGGCAAATAGGTTTTGAATTACATGAATATTATTTGTATTAAAAAGTTGTTAACAGATTGAGTGCACAAATACTAATGACATTGAAATTACCTAAAAATAATTGTATAAAAAATTGTATTTAACTAATGTTAAGACTTATTTTTGTAATTATATATTTATATAAAATCTAATATAACATTTAATTATAAATTATAATTATAAATATGATGAAAAACTTATTTTAAACTTTCATAACTTTATATTAAACTATGAGTAATATTATTTTGTACTAGTTTATGTGTGTTTAAATTTTATTCAGGATCTTTACATAAATTATAATAAAAATATTTTTTAGTATTTGTAACTTTGATTACTGGTATATGAAAATAGAGAACAAATTGATAAACATGTTTTGCATTAACGAAAACGACAGTCGAGTAAAACACAAAAACACGTTTTTGTGAATCATTTGAACAGCTAGTCAGACGACAACAACAGTGATATTAATAATAAAAATAATAATGACAAAGAAGAAAAAATGAAGATAACGACGACTATGGAACTCAAGAAAGACGACGATTGGGCGAAGTTGACCATCGATTGGTCGGACGATATGTCGGCCGAGGATTTGGAGGCCGTGTTTGTTAGCCGCACTGGTCAACTACGAAACAAACGTGTATATGAGGGACACGTTTCGCAAGACGTCGGACGACATATAAGATTATCGGCCGACGATTTATCACGTGATGAGCGCCATCGGGCTGTGTTCTTGACAGCGGCCGGTGATTGCGTTGCCGGACGACAGAGAACTCCCGTATGTCGTCGTATGGCATACACGTGGAGTGAGTTCCCACGCGGAAGCGGTCGACGTATGAGTGGACAGCGCGCTAGCGATTGATAGCCAGCACCGGTACTATCGCATCGACCAGAAATCCTTTTATTTTTCCTGGAGGACATACTCCACGCCATCGACTGGACATCGATACCGCTGCCGATCGACGGAGATATCGAGTCAGCAGTCAAGTGAGGAGTTCGCTGGCGAATCGGCCGTACGGCTGGATCCAGTCGGTGGCGACTATGCCGCCAGTCGACACCATACGTAGTTCAGGGAGCCTATCGCTGCGTTGTTTGAGCACTGGTAGTCGTAACAGTTAACGACTAGGCGTTGAGCAAAGCGGTCGCTATTTTGAATTAAAAAATAATCGTTAGTTTAGATTAAAAAAACTAGTTTTTTTATTCCTTACTTTATCGCCGAGTAGTTTTATAATATTTCTGAACCAATTAATAATTATTATGTTATATATATATACGAATAATTACTATATTTATTATAATTTTAAACGTCGTTAAAAATTTTTATCAAAAAAAATGTTATCATAGGATTATATGATATAACTGATAATACTGCCTAAAATATAATACTTTTATTTTAGTAATTTGAGTTGAGTGGCCGTTGATCAGGCGGCCAACAACTCGGGTTCGGTTTTAGGGAACGTAATTATTATCTGTCTCTCTCTGTCTCTCTCTCTCTCTCTCTCACCTGACTATCTATTATTGTATTGATATCCCTATCCGCCCAACACTTTCATTCTTTTACTTAACTCAATAATACTGTACACTGTTTTTATGACCAATCAATAAATTGTTTATTTAATTAACTCTTGTGTCCATTGATTGTCATCACTGTAATCGCTATCATCGGCCGACTCACGCAAAGCATAATAGCGACTCCAACCGCTATACGGTAAAGTATACGAAATAAGTACACGTTTTTTTTATATGAAAGCAAACGATTTTATTAATTATAAAATATTCGACTAAACGTTGCGAAAGCTAAACGACTACTACTGTTGCGGAAACGGTAGAGTCGTTGATATAACGCAATGATGTTGTGTTGAGCGCCAGCTGTTAACACAAATTATTATTATTTTTTTTAAATAATTTATAAATTTAATATGTTTTATATAAACTTATTAATAATATAACTTTTATCAGATATTAATTTTATACATTACTGTGTATATATACTGTATATATTTATTCATATAAAATTTGTTAATACAATTATAATATATATATACGGTATATATATATAACAATTTAATACAGTATTATTATTAATTTATTATTATAGCATTTACTGTACTTTATGTAAATAATTTTAACACAATCATTATTGTAACATATTTTTTACAAATATAATATTATTATTTATTTTAATTAGTGTATTACTATTTATTTATTATCAGTTACTTATTAAGTTAGTTAATAAATTAATACAATATTTATATAATTTTATATACAGTATAAACTGTATAAATATATATAATGTTAGTATTGGAAAATAAAGTTGCATTAATTACTGGTAAAATATATCATATTTTTTTTGTATTTAAAATAAAAACTTAATTTTTTTTATTATATTAATAGTAGTAATAATTATAATAAATATTACTATACTATACTATCTAACCTAAATAGGGTCGTCATCGGGTATCGGTGAGGCCGTAGCCTTGAAACTGTGGTCAATGGGTGCGTCGGTTGTGATTACTGGTAGAGATACTAAGCGTATAGACGCTGTAATCTCCCGGTGCCTCAACAACAGCAACAGCAGTCAACCAGCAACCGGTATTGGTATCAAACAACATGATGGTGACCACCATCGCCGACGCCACCATCAAAAAGCTATCGGTATTAGAGCCGATCTATTAGTGGACACAGATATCGATTTACTAGTCGCACGAGTGTCGGCCGAGTTTGGCGGCCAATTGGATATACTGGTCAACAATGCCGGTATGGAAGGGTTAGCCAATTTTGTTGATGACAATTGTGTGATGTTAATCGACCAGGAGCTCAATTTTATGCGTGCCCAACAACGACTGACCCGATTGTTAATACCTATGCTAACGTCAAGCGCCACCATCTGCAGCAGCTTCAGTAGTATTGTTAACGTATCGGCCATCACTGAAAAAGCCGTAAGTGTGTGGGTGAGGGGGGGGGAAAGGGAGGGAGGGATGGATAAAATGGGTGTATTGTATTGGATATTGAAAAATAACAAATAATGTGTTTTTTTATTACTATTTTTTTTTGTTGTTTTTGTTGAAAATAATAAAACTATTAATTACTTTATTAGTAATATTTTAGTAATTAATTAAATTAGTTTTTAAATAATTAATTAAATTGGTTTTTAAATAATTAATTAAATTAGTTTTTTAATAATTAATTAAATTAGTTTTTAAATAATTAATTAAATTAGTTTTTAAATAATTAATTAAATTAGTTTTTTACTAATTAATTAAATTAGTTTTTTAATATTTAATTAAATTAGTTTTTTACTAATTAATTAAATTAGTTTTTTAGTAATTAATTAATTAAATTAATTTTATCGTAAATAGCAATCACAATCATTACCTAATATGTTGGGCAAAATCAGTTTAGATATGTTTACTAAATGTCTGGCCCTGGAGTTGGCACCCAATGGTGTACGGGTTAATAGTGTCGGGTTAGTTGGGTTTTAAAAATAATTGTTATATATATAGATAAAAATAATTATCGTTTTTTAAAACTAATTAATTAATTAAATTTTTTAATTGTCTTTCAAAAAAAACACACACACTTAACCCCCGCCCCCCGCCCCCACCTCCCAGTCCCGGTGTTATAGCGACACCGTCACTACTCGATCATCCAGTGCTCAAACAGATAGTATTAATGCCTGAATTTATGCAAACAATACCATTAGGACGTCTAGGTTTGCCGGACGAAGTGGCCAATGCGGTAGCATTTTTAGTGGTCACACCATCAGAGGCACCGACAGTCAGTAGAGGCGCCGGTAGTTTTATTACTGGTATAAAGTTGAACATTACGGGCGGCCAATAGATTATATAACTATATATATAAAGTATATAAATAGTTAGAAAAAATAGTTTTATATAATATTTAATAATTATTGTAATAATTATAATAATTTTTATAAAAATTATTGTCTATTATTAAATAATTATTATAATATTAAAAGTTAATAATATTTATATTAAATAAATATGTTTATTTTTTTTGGTTTAAGTATTTTTATTTTTTTATTATAATTTTTGTTTTGTTTTTTTAATGTATTTATTATATTAAATATTTTGTTAAGTAAGTTCAATGCAAACTAATTTTTATTTAAAAAATTTTTTTAATAAGTATTTTATATTAGTTAATAAAAATTAGAAACTATTTTAATAATTAAAAAAAATAATATATATATATATATATATTTACTTATTAACAATAATATGAAATTTTTATTATTTAGAAAAATAAATTAGAAAAAAATGTAAATATTTTAATTTAACATATTTTCTATCAAGTGTCAAATATGTAAATAAAAATTTTTTTTATAAAATAATGCACTGAAAACATGATAACTAAACATCTAGTTCAAATTTATTGATAAATAAATAAAATTATATTTAAACATATTTAAATAATTATAATAAAAAATAATGTTTATTATAAAATTAATAATAATAATAATATAAATAATTCAATTAATATTTAATTAATATATAATTAATATTTAATATTAGAATTATTTATATTGTTATTTATTTATTTTTTTAATAAACATTATTTTTAATTACTTTTAAAGTTACTTCTATTTATTTGTCAATATTATTGAAATAGACTGTATATATATATTACAAAATGTCAAAAATTAAAATATTTACATTATTTTCTAATTTATTTTTCTAAATAATAAAAAATTTCATATCATTGTAAATACCGATACAAAATATAAAAACGATTTATAATATTACGTATAAATAATATAAATTATTTTCATGAAATATTTTTGAAAAAAATGTTAAAAAAAATGTCATAAAAAACAGTCAATTAATATCTAATGGAAAAATACAAACTAAAACATTTAAAGTATCTAATGATTTAGTTAGAGTTAGATCAACATTTTATTTCAAGAAAGTTCCCTAAAAAATATTCTCTCAAATTTTTTTTTAAAAAAATTTAACTTCCTTTAATGTTAGAAATAAAAGAAATTATATTTTATATTATTTACAATAATTTTATAAATAAATTTCAACAAGACTAATTTATATCAATATAGCTTAAAATATATAGTTTCATATAATATGTTGAAGGAACCCAACTGTCCTTCAATTACCCATAATTTTAGATTTATATTTTGTATTCATATCCTATTTTTAATACCTATTTCTGTGTAATTCACTTATCCTTATATTTACACTTTGTATTACTTTACCGTTTAATATACAATTACCTGTAATTCCTGGTCAGTGACACCAATCACTGGCACCTCAATGTCCAATACATCATCTATACAACCGTTTTATATTCAAACAGTCCAATGACTACCTTTCCCTCCTATTCATTACCTGTATATCTATTTGACTATAAATACAGTAGAACTACTGTATTCATCAGTCAGTACACAAGTCAGTCAGTCAGTACACATCTCATCGCATACACAGTCAGTGCCACTGTATCTCTACATCTGAGCCCAGTCTCAGCCATTACTACTGTACTCGCACTACACGTGCTCTCAATTATCATATATTTTACCGATATTTTAACCATTGTTTTAATATACATTAAATTACAATAAAAGTGTTTCACTTATAACTTTGTTTAACTTCATTATCATTGTTGTCAAACCTCAAGAGTTCTACCGATTATTATACCGATTCTTATATCGATTAGTATCGCCAACGCTTACCGATTGATAACTACTTACCGATAGTATTATCACTACCTGATTGTCGTGTGCAAGGATTTGGATTATCAATTGGCCACCACTTGGTTACCACAGCTGCACAGTGATCACACCTATCATCTGAGAGGTCCTCTAAAGACCTATTGGGTGATATCACTCCGTGTATTAGTAATTAACAGTCTAGTATTGGTCTCATACCGACCCACGCTGCATACCTGACCGGTTAATCAGTACCGTGCATTGATATACCGATAGTTAATTGCCGGTACACTACAACAATAGGCACAGTCAGCAGGATTATCATTAGATCCCTGATCGTGTCATAGCAAATATTTAATTTTCAAACATTCAGTATATAAATAATTTTTTTTAAAATAATAATAATATTTAGTATAATTTTTTTTAAAAAAAACAATAAATGAAATTAATTTTACTTAGTCAAAATTAATTATAGTCTATTAAGTTAATTTTATTTAAAAAAAATTATTATGATCCCCATTTTGTTTTTTATAGAAAACATTTTCCATATTAAAAAAATTATAATATTTAAAATCTAAATCAAAAATTTTCATATCTAATAAAATTAATTATTTTTAAAATTTTGTCAATAATTTTTGACCAAGTTGAATTTTTTTTTAAATATAGAATTTAAATAACTTATTACTATTTAAGGGAATTTGTTTTAACAAAAAATAAAATAAATTTTTAAATACTAATATCTGGATATTTTTTGCTGACATTTAATTTATTTTGCAATTTATTGTTTTTCATTGAATTATTTCTAATTAATAATCAATTTTATTATGGATTAATATTTTACTCATTATAATAACAATGATTAGCATTTAATTAAATATTTAAAAAAAAATATTTTATAGTTAATAAATATATTTATTAAATTTTTTTTTATTGACAAACTGGTGGTAAATGGTTTTTGTTGTTGTTATTGTAGAAATATTTTTGTAGACAAAAAATGTGCCAAAATATTATTAAATTTTTTTTGTAAAAAACAATATATATATATATTTAACAATAAAAATTATTATATAAAATAAAATATTGCTATTATTATTATTTGTATGATTCAATTAAAACTTATTTCTATTTTATTTAAGCTTAAAAATTTAATAAATTTTATTTTCATTAAAATAAATAATTATTAACAACATTAACAAATGTTCAGTACAGTATTTAAAACAAAATTATCTAAAAAAACTAAAAATATACTAACTTTAACTTAAAAACTTAATTTAGGATTTTTCTTTTAAAAATTGTGTATTTTTAAAATTAAAAAAAATTAAAAATACTTTATTATTATATACTAGTTTGTCCCGCGCAACATGTATAGCCGTGAAATTCTTTTACTAATTTTATAATATTCATCATAAGTAATTTTAATGAGACTTAATTTGTTTATACAACTACTACATAACCTAATGTAACAAAACTACTGAACCAATACACATTAATTCGACTAAACTTTTGAAAAATTTTAGTTTTTATATATATTTAAATAATTTTAATAAAAATTGAAAATTTAATCATTTTAGCGAAAAAATTTGCATTTGAAAAAAAATTTACAAAAATTTAACACATGTAGCTAACCTCCCGGTGCCATAAACTCACAAATTATAGCAAAGTGTAATTACACGACACCAGCCTACCTGTCCCTAAAACCTACCAGTGCTCAATAAACGTTTAAAATTTCCCATTGAAATAACATTGCTTTAAATAAAAATTGAAAATTTTTGCATTTGAGAAAAATTTACAAAAATTTAGCATAGGTGGCTTACCTCCCGGTGCTCTAAGACTCACACAATATAGCAAAGTGTAATTACACAACACCTGCCTACCTGTCCCTAAAACCTACCAGTGCTCAATAAACGTTTAAAATTTCCCATAGAAATAGCAAATCTTTAAATAAAAATTTTTAAATTTTAACAATACTTTTTTAGATTTGAATTAAAATATGGTTGTTGATGAAATGTGCACGCATACATAAATACAGAACTATTATCTTAAAGTGTTATCTTGATTATTGTATAAAAATAATGGGAAGATATTTGTAATTTAATAAAAATTTGTTTGTTTTTAAAACTGCACAATTTTTATTATTTAAATCCAAAAAAAATAATACGGTGTTTATTATAAAATTTGTATCTAGTTTATTTAAATTATAATTATTTTAGTTTTTATCAAAAAACCATTTACCGTACCTTATGATAATGACTTTTAATATTATTATTATTATATATAATAATTTATTGACGTTATTATTACTAATAAATAAAAAATTGAATAATTAAGTAATAAATAAAATTTCGTAATAAATAATATTTTTTAATTAATTTTAGTATTATAGTTTATAAGCTTATTATATGTTGTTTAAAAAAATAATACTAATAAATATAAGTTTCAATTAATATATATTAATATATCAGTTTATATTTTAAATATATATATATATATATATATATAAATTTATATAATGGCAATTATCAATAGTATAATTAATAGTGTTTACACTAATTTTAATACTATTTCTCTAATAATTATTGGCGCTATCATTATCTATTTAAATATGTATGTAATATTTATATATAAATAAATAAATATATATATATATATATATATATATAATTAATAATTATTATTTTATTTTATTTAAAAAAAAAATCTAATAAAACATTTTTGTTTAATAATATATCTATATAAATACTATTACTTATTTATAATTACTATAATTATTATCAGTCAATATATTGTTAAATATAACTATTGGAAATCACGTGGCATATCGGGTCCATTACCTCTACCAATTTATGGCCACTATTTGCAAACTATTCTGGGTCATCATTATAAACAAATTGTTTCATGGACAAACAAGTTTGGCAAGATTATCGGGTATGATTGATATAATTTTTTTAGGATTAATTTATAATAGTCTAAACACTAATGGGTGAAGAGGGTGGTGATGGTTGTGGTGTTTGTGGTGGTTGTGGATGTGGTTGTGGTTGTGTTTGTGTTTGTGGTTGTGGTTGTGGTTGTGGTTGTGGTTGTGGTTGTGGTTGTGGTTGTGGTGGTGTTTGTGGTGGTTGTGGTGGTTGTGGTGGTTGTGGTGGTTGTGGTGGTTGTGGTGGTTGTGGTGGTGTTTGTGGTTGTGGTTGTGGTTGTGGTTGTGGTGGTGGTTGTGGTTGTGGTTGTGGTGGTGTGGTTGTGGTGGTTGTGGTGTTTGTGGTGGTGTTTGTGGTTGTGGTTGTGGTTGTGGTTGTGGTGGTTTGTGGTTGTGGTTGTGGTTGTGTGGTGGTTGTGGTGGTGGTGTGGTGGTTGTGGTGGTTGTGGTGTGGTTGTGGTGGTTTGTGGTGGTTGTGGTGGTTGTGGTGGTTGTGGTGGTTGTGGTGGTTGTGGTGGTGGTTGTGGTGGTTGTGGTGGTGTGGTTGTGGTTGTGGTGGTGGTTGTGGTTGTGGTTGTGGTGGTGTTTGTGGTGGTTGTGGTGTTTGTGGTGGTTATGGTGGTTGTGGTGGTGTTTGTGGTTGTGGTTGTGGTTGTGGTTGTGGTGGTTGTGGTGTTTGTGATGGTTGTGGTGGTTGTGGTGGTGTTTGTGGTTGTGGTTGTGGTTGTGGTTGTGGTTGTGGTTGTGGTTGTGGTTGTGGTTGTGGTTGTGGTTGTGGTTGTGGTTGTGGTGATGGTTATGGTTATGGTTGTAGTGGTGATTGTTGTAGTGGTGGTTATGGTTGTAGTGATGGTTATGATTGTAGTGGTTGTTATAGATTTTTTATACTAAAACTTAAATTATAATAATATAGAATTTTTTAAAAAATAATAATTTAATCATACATTTACCTAAAAAAAAATAAATAACAGGACATACCGTTTTACACGACCGGAGCTTATTGTTGCCGATCCTCAAGTTATCCATCAAATACTAAACACCGATTCGGCAAAGTTTTCCCGTCAACGGGAATGGTATCTATTGAAACATATGACTGACTATCAAAAATATTTAACCGTTCATAACAAACAAATGTTTATAGTATTGACGAAATTGTTTTTACCGGAAAACATGAAAAACATTGAATCGATAACCGATCGGGTATTCAATAAGTTTATAGTTACCGACGATTTGGGTAACGAAAACCAATTTAGCAAACTATACGGCATGTCGTTTGACAGACTAGACATCAGGCCAGTCGTCCAGAAAATGATAATGAATTTATTGATTGAATGCTCGTTTGGCCAGAGTTTTGCCGAACTAAATCTATCGGCCGACAGGTTTATGCAAAGTGCGCCACAGTTTGATAAAAATCGTTGGCTACTGTTGGCCACAATGCTAGTACCGTCGCTGACCGATCTGGTAATGGGTTTCTATGGTAAACTGTTTGGCCAAAGACAACGATATTTTATCGATAGTATACATAAACTGATTAGACATAGATGGCTGACTATGGCCAGTAGTAGTAGTAGTAGTACTACCGATGATGATGGTGATGATGTCGGCAACAATATCAACAACAACAACAACAACAACGATACTGCCGATGAAAAACCTAATAACGATTTTTTGCAACAATTTCTAGACTATCGGAGCCGATCGGGTGACATACTGGACGACAATGAAATTGTTAGCCTATATTATGTATGCTATCTATCCAGCTATGAGTCGATGACAATGATGCTATCGATGCTTATATACCAGTTGGCCCTAAATCCAACCGTACAGCAGCGTCTGTACGATGAACTACAGCAGCTACCAGTGCTGACAAACACCGGTACTGAGAGTGGCACTGGTAGTACAGCCGAGGCCGCAGCCGCCGCTACCGCTAAACTACATGAGCTACCCTATCTGAATGCTGTACTATTGGAAACTATACGCCTGTATCCATCGTTTGTGGCCAACCGACGGGCCATCAACGATGTCTATCTGACCGAAGTTGGCCTAACAGTACCGAAAGGTACTGATGTTGAACTATCATTCATATCGATGTTTTTGAATCCACAATATTTTACCGATCCGTACCAATTCAATCCCGATCGGTTTATGCCGACCGCCACCGATACTATACCGGCCAATGTATTCGTACCGTTCGGTATCGGTAGGGCTACCTGTATTGGCAAACGGTTTGCCAAAGTTATACTCAAACAAGGTTTGGCCAAACTGGTCAATCGGTTCAGATTTTCGCCGACTACGGCCACAGAAATCCCGCTCACGTTCAACAGGTGTCCCGATATGTTGTTACCCAAGTCTATTGAATTGAAGTTTGAAATGAGAGATAAACTAATCGTAAACTAAACTTATTATTATTATTATTTTGTTTTAAATTGAATAAATAAATTAATTTATTGATATATTTTTTTCTGAATGTTTATTTCAATTGCAATTTAACTGTAAAACTGTTAAAATCTAAAAAGTTTTATATATAATATATATAAAATTATTGAAAATATTGATTTTTTAAATATTATTATCTAATACTGTATATACTAATAAAGTATAACTTAGAGTACAATATAGTATATTTAAAATAAAAATAAAATTTTGTTTTTGTTTTTTATTAATATCTAATATGTGTGAATTTATTAATTATTTTATATTATTTTAATTTTCATTACTAATACTACTATTGTATATAAATATAAGTTTTAAAATTAAATAATTATAATAATAAGTTTTAATAACAATTGTAATAATTATTAATAATAATAATATTAATAATCAAACAAATAGTTTATTTGTTTAACTGTTTTTTAAAGTTATTTAAATTAGTTTTTTGTATAATTTTAATTGTAGTAATTATAAAAATATTATATATATTGATAAAAATTTCGACTATATATTAGTTAATCGATTTTTAAAAAAAAAATTTTCTAAAATATATTAATATATATCTTTTTTAAGTCAAGTTTTAATTATCATCACATTTTTCAAATTAAAATATTTGACAATGAAATAGCAAATAATTTTTTTGTGTCTAAATAATTAACATTTTTTCATATAATTGTAAATATTGATATACAAATACAGTATTTTTTGTGTATAATAGTATTGTAATATATTATTATTATTATTATTATTATTATTAGTATTATACCGGGAGTAGATTCCCATTATAGTATTTAGAAATTTATTTATTATATACTGTATTAATATATAAAAATTTTTTTGATATATTATATAAGTTTTTATTATTAAAAAAATTATTAAAATAAAAGTATTAATAATTAATTTCACAATAATAAAGTTAAATTTAGCAAAAATAGGATAATTATTATCAATAGAAAATATAAAATTAAATATATATTTTTTTTAAAACTTTTAGTTTAAAATAATTTTTTTTTTTGATTAATTATTAAATAATATATAGTAATTAATATTAAATAAAATATGTATTTATGATTCTAGACTTTAAACACAAAAAAAATAATTGAGTGATACAACAAAAAAATAATATCAAAATATTTTTTACTATTAGTTATTTATTTTGGAATTTATTTTTTAAAAAATAATAAATTAACAAAATTTAACCTTGTAACATTTTGTTTTTTCTTTTATTAATATTAGTTAAGTTATAGTACTATAGTAACTATAGTATAATACTTTATATATATTAAAAAAAAATAATTTAAACAATTTTATTAGTAATAAATGTGAATCTATTTCTAACATATATATATAGTTTATCTTATAATTTATACCTAACTTATAGTTTAAATTTAATTTGCTTATATTTTAGTTTTTTAATTAAAAAAATAATGGCAATTATAGAAAATATAATTAATATTATCCATGTTAATTATCAAACAATTTCACTATCAATTGTTGGCGCTATAATTATTTATTTAGTAATGTATGTATAAATATATTAATTTATTAATAAAAAATTAACAATATTTACTTTGAATGTTAAAATATATATGTATTTATTATAATATATTATTATTAATAATAATACTAAATTGTACTGGATAAAAATTTGTTTTTTTCAATAAATATTATTATTATTATTATCAGTCAATATGTTGTACATTTTAATTATTGGAAATCGCGTGGTATATCTGGTCCAATACCTTTACCAATATATGGCAACTATTTGCAAACTATACTAGGTCATCATCATGAACAATTAATAGCCTGGACAACTAAGTTTGGCAATGTAATTGGGTTAGTTAGATATTATTATTTAAAAAAATTAAATAAAAATAAAATAAACTATATTTAAATAATAATTATTATTATTACTTATATTATTTCTAATAATATTAATTAAATATATATTTTTAAAAAACATTAAATAAAATTTATCTAATTATACAAAAAAATAATTTTTACAAAACAAAAAAATATATTTAAATAACTTATTATTATTACTACCACTACTACCACTACTACCACTACTACCACTACTACCACTACTACCACTACTACCACTACTACCACTACTACCACTACTACCACTACTACCACTACTACCACTACTACCACTACTACCACTACTACCACTACTACCACTACTACCACTACTACCACTACTACCACTACTACCACTACTACCACTACTACCACTACTACCACTACTACCACTACTACCACTACTACCACTACTACTACTACTAAATGTACAGTATATATACATAACTAATTGTAATACAGTATAATACCTGTTATTTAATTATTACTTATTATTATTATTATTATTATAACAGGACCTACCGTTTTTCACGTCCGGAACTAATTATAGCCGATCCGCAGGCCATCCATCAAATAATGGCCACTGATGGACAAAAATTTCAACGACAACGCGAGTGGCCACTGGTCATCAATTTGACCGACTATCAGAAATATCTGTACGTAAACAGTAAGCACAGTATGAGTGTATTATCGCATTTGTTTCGACCGGAAAATATGAAAAACATTGAATCGTTAACCGAAACGGTATTCCGAAAGTTTGCCACCGATTTGGCCGAAAATAATAGTAATAATAAGTTCGGTAATAGTTTTCTCCAGCGAAACGGCTGGTCATTGGACAGACTGGACGCACGGCTAGTCATCCAGGAAATGGTTATGCAATTTCATATTGACATATCATTTGGCCAGAGTTTTACCGATCTGAACCTATCGGCCGATAAGTTTACCCAAAGTATGCCCAGATTTGATAAAAATAGGCGACTATTGTTGACCACAATGTTAGTGCCGTCGCTGGTCGACCCCGTCATACGTTTTTATGGTAAACTGTTTGGCGAAACTCAACGCTATTTCATTGACAGTACACACAAACTTATTGAACACCGTAGACAACTGTCCACCACTACTACTACTACTACTACTACTAGTAGAAGTAGTACTACCGGTGCTCTGGAAAAGCCTAACGATTTTTTGCAACTATTTGTCGACTATCGGCACAAATCGGGCGACGGTCTGACCGACAACGAAATTGTCAGCCTATACTATGCCTGCTATCTGGCCAGCTATGAGCCGATGTGTCTGATGTTGTCGATGGCCGTATACGAGTTGGCCCGCCAGCCATCCGTACAGCAACGTCTGTACGACGAACTCAGTACACTGCGCACCGGTAGTCGTGGCTGTGGTAGCGGTAGTAATGGTGCCGACATTCAAGAGCTACCCTATCTGAATGCTGTACTATTGGAAACAATACGTATGTATCCGTCATTTGTGGCCAATCGGCGCGCTCAGGAAGATGTCTATTTGGCCGATATCGGGGTAACCGTACCGAAAGGTACTGACGTAGAAATGTCGTTCATATCCATGTACTATAACCCCCAGTATTTCCCGGATCCCTATCGTTTCAATCCCGATCGATTTATGCGGCCATTGGTCGATCAACAAACGGCCAATACGTTCCTGCCGTTCGGCAGCGGTAAGTATACCTATTGTATTGGCCAACGATTTGCCAAATTGGTACTCAAATTGGGTCTGGCCAAACTGGTCGAACGGTTCATGTTTGAGCCGACGGCGACTACAGAAATACCGTTCAAATTCAACCGATTTCCCGATATATTGTTACCGAAATCATATGATCTGAAGTTTGTATTGAGAAAATAAATTATCAATTTTGTTGTTGTTGTTGTTATTGTGTTTAAAAGTTATTAATTATTAATTAATTAATTAATTATATAGTAAATACAAGTATCATATTTTTAATGTTATTATAATTAATTATAATTAATTAAAAAAATTATTTAAATAAAAATCAGTTTTAAAAAAGTTATATTTAAATGCTTTATTATATGAACAAAATATTATATAAAAATAAAATTATAATTATTTTTTTTAAATAAATTAATTATAAAATATTTTTCATAATATTATTTACTATTAAGACTACAATAATGATTTTATCAATCAATTAGTTTAATATAACAATTTGTTTAATGTATTGTATTATAAATTATTAATTTAATACTTAATAATAAGCAATTTGATAGATATAATTAAAGTATATCTAAATAATTCCGGCATCTTTTGCAAGTGTATAAAAAATGGTCGACTTATTGGCCAACAAAACATCGGGTTCGGCAAACTCAGCTACCCGTCCATCGTTGAACACTAGCACCCGATCCGAGTCCATAATCGTATTGATTCGGTGGGCAATTGTCAGTACAGTACAAGAACTGAACTCCTGGCGAATGGTTCGCTGAATAAGTGCATCGGTTTCCACATCGACGGCAGCCGTGGCCTCGTCGAGGATCAGTACTGATGTATGTCGTAGTAGAGCCCGAGCCAGACATACAAGTTGTCGTTGACCAACACTTAGATTATCACCCGATTCGCTAACCGGTGAGTCCAGCTTAGAGTCCAGCGATTGGACAAACAGTTTGAGATGTGACTGTTCTAATACTGACCACAAATCGCTATCGGTATGATTTCCAAACGGATCCAAATTTGATCGAATAGTACCCGAATAGAGTACCGGTTCCTGTGGTATGATTGTCAACCGCGATCTTAACTCCTGGAGACCTAATCGGCTGATGTCGATGTCGTCGATAACAATGTTACCCATTGCCGGCTCAATGATCCGAAACAGTGCCAATGTTAGGGATGACTTTCCAGCACCGGTTCGGCCAACAATACCTATCTGTTATAATACAAGATAATATATATATATAATGCTATTTATAGTATAATACTTATATTAATTAAATAATATCACAATTTTTTTCCTAAAAAAAATTTATACTCAATTAAATAATTTCAATATATTGTAGTATAATTGGTAGTAATCATAATAATATTAATGATAATAACAATAATTATTTGTTTAATTAATTAATTTCTAAATACCTTTTCGCGGGGTTTAATGCTGACATCAATACCGCGTAACACCAGATCCAAACCGGGTCGATATCGGGTACCGTAGCCATCAAACCTAACCGAACCGCTAGACGGCCAATCAGTGGGCAATTCAACTGTCGACTGCCAGTCGGCTTCGGGTTTTAGTTTAGTATATTCATCCACCCGTTCCACTGAAACGATACAGTTTTCAACCAAAATAAACGATTTGATCAGATTCTCAAACGATGTCATCAGACTAATGGCCAACGATAGGCTAACACCTACCGAACCGCCCGTTTGCCGATTCTTGGACAGTACGGCAAATAGTGCGGCAAAAAATATCAATAGATTGCTTAGCAATGCCATCCGTATCTGTAGCCAACTGGTGGCCAAAACATTGGGAAACAAACACTTCTGATTGGTGTCCAATCGGTACTCAATTTCCCGTATAAACCTTTCGGAACATTGATAGGCCCGTACACTGGACAGACCGTTAACCGACTCTTCAAAGTGCGATATGATTCGCGATCGTGTAGTCGACTCTAATCTGTATTACATTTAATATTATTATAATTTTTATTTAATATAAAAAAAATTGTATACCTTTTTAATTGACGCGATGTGTTGATGTAAAATATCTAAATATTTTGAATTTTATTAAAAAATTATTGTTATTTTTTTTATATACTGTATGTGTGTGTTATAAAAAATAATTACCTGAAAAAACACATATAAAACAATAACAACAACAAGTGGGGCCAAAAATAGTGGCGTCACTACTGAAATGTTTATTAGTCCACCAAATAGTAATAGAAACTCATAGATAAAAATACTATAATATAAATCAATATATATATATATATTAAATATAAACATTTATATAAAATATTTATTAAAATAAATTTAAAAATTAGAAAATATATGATAATTATATACTCTATCTTAGAAAATATTATGTATTAGATAAGGATTAATCTCTCTCTCTCTCTCTCTCTCTCTCTCTCTCTTAATTTAACTATCTATTCATCTATTAGCTATATAGTATATACATATACAAAAATAACAATAAAGAGAGAGAGAGAGAAAGAGATAGATAGATAGATAGATAGATAGAAAGATAGATAGATAGATAGATAGATAGATAGATAGATAGATAGATAGATAGATAGATAGATAGATAGATAGATAGATAGATAGATAGATAGATAGATAGATAGATAGATAGATAGATAGATAGATAGATAGATAGATAGATAGATAGATAGATAGATAGATAGAGAGATAGAGAGAGAGAGAGAGAGAGAGAGAGAGAGAGAGAGAGAGAGAAAAGTTACGTACAAAACAGTTTCAAATATCTGTCCGTCCAAAACATCGAGATCTCTACTGAATCGGTTCATTATACGACCCAATGGTGTTGTATCGAAAAACGACATGGGCGCATGCATTACACTTGTAAGTATCTGACCGTGCAATTGATGGGCAGCCCGTCGGCTGCCGATAATAAAAGCGGTCAGCGATAGCATTGTCAATAGCAAATAAGCGGCAATCAGTGCGCCGTATACACCCATATAGTAAGCCGTATTGTTACCACCGTTGCCGATATCCGTTGTCCATTTGGACAGCCAATTAAATACAGCCATTAGGCAGGCGGCGCCTCCGATTATACTGATAGCAAATATGCAAAATGATAGTATGGTCAGTGAACGGACGTATTTAATATATACCTAAATTATAAAATACAAACAAATTAATTAATTAACTAATATATTAATTAATTAATTGACTAATATATTAATTAATTAATTGACTAATATATTAATTAATTAATTGACTAATATATTAATTAATTAATTGACTAATATATTAATTAATTAATTGACTAATATATTAATTAATTAATTGACTAATATATTAATTAATTAATTGACTAATATATTAATTAATTAATTGACTAATATATTAATTAATTAATTGACTAATATATTAATTAATTAATTGACTAATATATTAATTAATTAATTGACTAATATATTAATTAATTAATTGACTAATATATTAATTAATTAATTGACTAATATATTAATTAATTAATTAATAATAATAATCACATAATAACTTACACTAAGCTTAATATGTCCGGACTCTACGCTCTCTTCATCGATAAGCTGTGTCTCCGTAATGTTTGGTGTTGTCATCAATTGTTGGTCATTATCATCGGTAGGTACAGGTATTGCTGTTGATGTATTGTTTTTGTTAATACTATCCGTGATTTGGTGACCATCAGTATAATCTTCATTATCTTCTTCTTGTTGTTGTTTACTGTTAGCCGAGTATTGTGCGACCAAATCGGCAAACTCGCGATTGTTTGCCAACAGCTGTTCATAGGTACCGACAGCGGTCACTGAGCCGTCTTTCAATACGACAATACGGTCGACATCGGGCAATACAAACAGCTGATTGGTAGCCAAAATACGGGTCTTGTTCTTCAATAAACCGGTTCGCGAATCAAACACTTCGGTCATAATATGTTTGCCCACATGACTGTCCACTGAAAGTAATAAATTCATAAATAAATATTTGTCTAAAATAAAGTTTGTTTAAAAACCTGCGGATAACGGGTCGTCAAACAAATAGATGTCGGCATCGGAATAGACGGCCCGACATAAGCTGACTCTCTGTTTCTGACCGCCGCTCAAATTGATACCCTTTTCGCCGATTTCGGTCTCATCTCCGCCGGACAGTTGCCGAAGATCTGGTTCGAGAGCACAGGCACTCAGTACTTGACTGTATCTAATCTGATCGTATGGTTTGCCAAACAGTATGTTGTCTTTGAGGGTTGCATTCTGTATCCATGCCTGTTGGGGAACATATGCCATACTATGTCCCTGTGCTATATTGATTGAACCGCCAATCAGTTCCATATCACCGATCAGTGCCGACATCAGTGAACTCTTACCAGAGCCGACACCGCCGACCACTGCCACAAACATACCGTCACTGATAGCAAGATCTATGTCTTTCAACATATTGTTGTTGTCGTCGCTGGTGGTGGTAGTGGTTGTGGTGCTGTTTGTCGTTGTTGTTGTTGTTTGTAAATCATTTTGACTACCAATCCATGAAAGTGTTGCCTTTTTAACTCTAACAGCAAATTGTTTGCAATCATTGTTTGTAACATAATTGTAATGTTCGGATAATTTAAGAAAATGGTCGATACGTTTCAATGATACATAAATCTATTATACAGTAATAATAATATTATTATTTTAATTAAATATATATATATATATATATATATTCAAACAATAATATTAATTAATTAAATAATTAATTAATTACTAATAACTTACCAAACAAACTGAATTGAAAGCATAGGGCAATACAACAATACTAGTGCTTAGTATGTTAAACAAGGATACGGATACAAATATAAGCTGTGCATTGATATTGTTGCTGCCATTCAATGATATAAACGTACCAAATGTGGCCAACTGTGCCAATATTGGCGATGCAAATGTCACTACCAGTGTAACGGCAAGCCATAGCCCACCGCATAGCATATGTTTTAGCTCGCGGTTACGTATTTTGTTAACCATTGCCATATAGGGTAGTTCCCAGGCGTATAACTGTTGGCGTATAATAATAATAATAATAATAATAATAATAATAATAATAATAATAATAATAATAATAATAATAATAATAATAATACTTAATAATAATAATAATTGTTGCACTATATATGAATATTATATAAATACAATAAATACAATAATGTTAATATTATTAATTAACTTACTTTCAATATATAAATATAAGATATAAGTTAAAAATAGTAAATACTATAATTAAATAAATTATATAAAAAAAAGTTTACTATTAATATGATTATATATATATGATGTATGTAAGATATATTTTATAATTAATTAATTAATTAATTTATATTAATTAACTTACTTTCAATATTTTCATACCATTTAGTATTTCGTTCATTAAGTTTATCCGATTGTCTTTCAATTCATACTGTTTTTGTTTAGCCGAACCAATGAATACGGTTAGCAATAGACTGATTGGTATCATAGCTATCAATATGCCCAGACCTACAAAAGCGGCCACACCTACTTGACAATAGATCAGATAGACGGCCAAACCGATCTGTATGGGCATTGTAATTAAGTATGGCGGCCATTGAAGATAGTCTAGTTTTTTTGTTGTTGTTGTTTTTGAGTTAATTAAATAAATTATAATTGAATAGATGGTTAGTTAGATATATATATATATAATATAGACATACCTATAATACGTTGACAGTCAACTGTCATCAAATTGACTATTTCTCCATTAGGTGTGAGCCGTTTGCTATCATTGCTTAATACCAGTGCTTTGCGATATATGGCTGATGTTAGACACGATTTAACTCTTATTCCTTTATAATTATAATTATTAATAATAACCAACAAAAATAATATCATATTTTAGTCAAATTTATAAATTAGTTTTTTTACTACTAGTGCAATGCACACACACACATACATGCAGTAAACATACACTCACACACACAAACAAATACATACACATACACATACACATACACATACACATACACATACACATACACATACACATACACATACACATACACATACACATACACATACACATACACATACACATACACATACACATACACATACACATACACATACACATACACATACACATACACATACACATACACATACACATACACATACACATACACATACACATACACATACACATACACATACACATACACATACACATACACATACACATACACATACACATACACATACACATACACATACACATACACATACACATACACATACACATACACATACACATACACATACACATACACATACACATACACATACACATACACATACACATACACATACACATACACATACACATACACATACACATACACATACACATACACATACACATACACATACACATACACATACACATACACATACACATACACATACACATACACATACACATACACATACACATACACATACACATACACATACACATACACATACACATACACATACACATACACATACACATACACATACACATACACATACACATACACATACACATACACATACACATACACATACACATACACATACACATACACATACACATACACATACACATACACATACACATACACATACACATACACATACACATACACATACACATACACATACACATACACATACACATACACATACACATACACATACACATACACATACACATACACATACACATACACATACACATACACATACACATACACATACACATACACATACACATACACATACACATACACATACACATACACACACATACACATACACATACACATACACATACACATACACATACACATACACATACACATACACATACACATACACATACACATACACATACACATACACATACACATACACATACACATACACATACACATACACATACACATACACATACACATACACATACACACATACACATACACATACACATACACATACACATACACATACACATACACATACACATACACATACACATACACATACACATACACATACACATACACATACACATACACATACACATACACATACACATACACATACACATACACATACACATACACATACACATACACATACACATACACATACACATACACATACACATACACATACACATACACATACACATACACATACACATACACATACACATACACATACACATACACATACACATACACATACACATACACATACACATACACATACACATACACATACACATACACATACACATACACATACACATACACATACACATACACATACACATACACATACACATACACATACACATACACATACACATACACATACACATACACATACACATACACATACACATACACATACACATACACATACACATACACATACACATACACATACACATACACATACACATACACATACACATACACATACACATACACATACACATACACATACACATACACATACACATACACATACACATACACATACACATACACATACACATACACATACACATACACATACACATACACATACACATACACATACACATACACATACACATACACATACACATACACATACACATACACATACACATACACATACACATACACATACACATACACATACACATACACATACACATACACATACACATACACATACACATACACATACACATACACATACACATACACATACACATACACATACACATACACATACACATACACATACACATACACATACACATACACATACACATACACATACACATACACATACACATACACATACACATACACATACACATACACATACACATACACATACACATACACATACACATACACATACACATACACATACACATACACATACACATACACATACACATACACATACACATACACAATCAATACATACCCATTGTATTAATTATTTCATATGAATATGCGTTAAAAAAAGAGTAGACAACATTGGTTATAACAAACAGTACTGTATAGATATATCCGTGCCATTGATATTCATAATTGTCACCAACAAAATCAATTAATAATCTAAACCACACACAAAAAACAATTATTTTATTTAGAAATATATATATAAATAATTATATTTAATAATAGATTATATAAAAATATTTTAGTTATTTTAGTAAAAAAATGGGATAATTTTTGTTGTTGACAAATATACATGTATGTATAATAAACATAAAAAATAAAATTTTTAAATAAATTAATGTTTGTTTTTATTATAATTATTTTTTATGCTCATGTATATAAACATGTTTACTTAAATTTAGTAAAAATTGTTTACCCCCACCCCTCCTATACCACCCTGAAATCAAAATCCTGTTTTTATGACATACCCACCCCTCCCGTCACCTACTAGTCCCTATACCTACTTGATAATCAATGGCTGTACAGTTTGTATAGTACTAGCAGTCATAAGCAATATAACTGGACCAATAATATCCAGGCCAAACATTTTGAATATGACCATGAACACACTAGTATGATCCTTATTATTTGAATTATAATGTTGCTTGGTGATGGTGTTGGTTGGATTTATATGTAAAATAGTTTTGCCCCTAATTTTTTCTATGACATTGAATTTTTTATTATTATTATTATTTAGAAACCAATGTTTTGAAAACATTTTGTAATTTTTTAGACTACTATCCACTGAACGCAATGGCCATAGATCTTGTAATTCTAGAGATTTTCGCCAACCGTTTATAAACAGCATATCTATCCAATGGTAGGTTATCTTTGATATAAAGGATGCCCTCTCTTTTGGACACACTTTAGGTTGTTGTTGTTGGTGGTGTTGATGATGACTGTAAGTGTGTGCTAACTGGCCATCTATTATCGGCAGTTTATCGGCAAATGTTGTTAAAATAAACAACAGTCCAGTCAATGAATATGATAGACATCTCAATATAAACTCATAGTATCTGAGTTTATCATCCGGTGCTGTACTGTATGTAACAATGGATAGTGTACTCGAAAATGTATCAATCAATAGGTATAGCCAAACACAACCGCTTCGATGAATACCACAGCGGCGTTGGGCATAAAAAATGATACACAGGGCTAGTCTGGTAGCTGTTTGTAAGGCTGTCATAATAATATAGGCCGTACTCGGACTGTCCAACCATTGATATTTGCGAACCAAACTGAATATTAGTTCAAAAAATAGGACAATTGTGCCGACAATAGTCAGACCTAAACGACTTGTGTTATATAAATTCCAATCAATTGATGGTTTGTCCGATGATTTAAAACAATTATAGATAATGTATGGAATGGTAAGCCATAGGAATATACAGGGAATCCATGCAAACCAAGTCTCGATCATACATGAGCTCAGATGAGGATCGGGTGTATACCATGTCTGGTGACTATCCTGTGGTATGTTATGGTTATTATAAATTAAAGTATAAATTTTATATTAATATATAACTATTAGATAGATTTATTTAATAAATAATGTTATGATATATTAAGGTTATATTTTAATTAATTTGTTATTATTATTTTTATAGATTTAATATTATAATAATATTTACCCATAATTTTGTTGTACAAATATTTTCAAACATATTATCTTGTATTTTCGTATATTATAACTAATTAATACATTTTAAAAATAACAATATAAAAAATATATATAGGAATTAATATTCAAATATATTTTTTTTCTAATGTATTGTATTAGAAAACAATTATTTAAATTATATATATAATCTAAGAATAAGTTTTTGTTTTAAAAGTATTTTTTTTTAAATTATAATATAATGATTTGACAAATAGTTTAATTACAAAAAAATTAAATAGTATAATAGAAAATAGTCATTGAAAAAAATAATTAAAATAATATTAATATAACCTAGCTACTGTTAACTATACTAAAAATTTTTTAAACAAAATGTTTTTATGTATAATATATTTTACGTATATACGTACGTATATACATAAATATATAATGTCACCATTATCCAATAAATTATCCTCATAACTAATTACCCATAATTTTGTTGTCCACAAAAATATTATAACTAATTTATATATACAAAAATAATAATATAAATATATATATACTGTATATATAGGAATTAATATTATTATAATTTAAGTTTTAATGTATTGTATTCTAAATAAATATAAATACAATATTTATTTAAATTTCAAACAACTGTATATATATTAATATATTATTTATTAAATAATAATACTAAAATCATAGATTTTATGGTTTTAAATATTAATTTTTGTATAAATAGTTAAAATATTTTTTATACGATATTAAATTTTTCTAAATTTAAATCTAAATTTATATAATAACGTTAATAATAATTTTTAAAATATCTCTATCTCTAATAAAATATAAATTATAAAAAACAATTAAAAAATATTAAGCTATTATTTAGAATGATATAAATTAATTAATATAAAAGTTATTTTTTTTATTTAAATCTACAATTAAATAATTCCGGCATCTCTGGCCAGTGTATAGAAAATTGTCGATTTGTTAGCCAACAAAACGTCGGGTTCGGCAAACTCAGCTACCCGTCCATCGTTGAACACTAGGACCCGATCCGAGTCCATAATAGTATTGATTCGGTGGGCAATTGTCAGTACAGTACACGTACTGAATTCCTGGCGAATGGTTCGCTGAATAAGTGCATCGGTTTCCACATCGACGGCAGCCGTGGCCTCGTCGAGGATCAGTACTGATGTATGTCGTAGTAGAGCCCGAGCCAGACATACAAGTTGTCGTTGACCAACACTAAGATTATCGCCCGATTCGCTAACCGGTGAGTCCAGCTTAGAGTCCAACGATTGGACAAATAGTTTGAGATGTGACTGTTCTAATACTGACCACAAGTCACTATCGGTATAACTGTCAAACGGATCCAAATTTGAACGAATAGTACCCGAATATAGTACCGGTTCCTGTGGTATGATTGTCAACCGTGATCTTAACTCCTGGAGACCTAATCGGCTGATGTCGATGTCGTCGATAACAATGTTACCCATTGCCGGCTCAATGATACGAAACAGTGCCAATGTTAACGATGACTTTCCAGCACCTGTACGGCCAACAATACCTATCTGTATAAATACAATAGCAAAATAATTGTATTTATAATCTACTATTAGATAAGTTTTTTACTATATTTTAATATTATTATATATTTAATATTACACACACACACACACACAAAAAGCAAACCAAATACGGTATTACTATTATTATTATACATAATTATAATATACTTTACTATACTAGTAATTAAATACAGTATAATAATGTATAAAAATAATTTTATTTTTTTAATAGTATTTTTGTTTGTTTGTTAGTCAACCATACCTTTTCACTGGGTTTAATGCATACATCAATACCGCGTAACACCAGATCCAAACCGGGACGATATCGGGTACCGTAGCCATCAAACCTAACCGAACCGCTAGACGGCCAATCAGTTGGCAATTCAACTGTCGAATGCCAGTCGGCTTCGGGTTTTAGTTTAGTATATTCATCCACCCGTTCCACTGAAACGATACAGTTTTCAATCTGAATAAATCCACGAATTAGACTCTCAAACGACGGCATCAAAGCTATGGCCAGCGATAGGCTTACGCCAATCGAACCGCCAGTTAGCCGATCTTTGGCCAGTACGGCAAACAATGCGGCAAAAAATATCAATAGATTGCTTAGAACAGCCATCCGTATCTGTAGCCAACTGGTGGACAAAATATTGGGAAACAGACACTTCTGATTGGCGTCCAATCGGTACTCTATTTCCCGTATAAACCTTTCGGAACATTGATAGGCCCGTACACTGGACAGACCGTTGACCGACTCTTCAAAGTGCGATATGATTCGCGATCGAGTAGTCGACTCTAATCTGTAAAACATACAAAAATAATTTAATATTTTATAATTTTATTATTAAGTTTTTTTTCGTATACCTTTTTAATTGACGCGATGTGTTGATGTAAAATATCTAAAAAATTTTGATTAAATTTATAATACATTTGTTATTTAGTATGTGTTTGATATGTGTGTTGTGATTGTTATGAAAATAATTACCTGAAATAACACATAAATTATGATAACAACGACAAGTGGGGCCAAAAATAGTGGCGTCACTACACAAATGTTTATTAGTCCGGCAATTAGTAATAGAAATTGGTAGAAGAAAAAACTATAAATTTTTTATACAAAAAATATAAAACAAAAATATAAAAATGTAAAATAAGTTTATAAGATATTATATGATAAGACTATTTAATAAATTATCTATTTAGTAGTTTTATTTGCACCAAATAACATACATACATACATACATCATACACACACACACACACACACACACACACACACACACACACACACACACACACACACACACACACACACACACACACACACACACACACACACACAGTCACACAACTACAAACACACGCAAACACACACACATACATACTTACTCTCTCACACACACACACACACACACACACACACAGTCACACAACTACAAACACACGCAAACACACACACACACACACACAGTCACACAACTACAAACACACGCAAACACACACACATACATACTTACTCACACACACACACACACACACACACACACACACAGTCACACACAGTCACACAACTACAAACACACGCAAACACACACACACACACACACACAGTCACACAACTACAAACACACGCAAACACACACACATACATACTTACTCACACACACACACACACACACACACACACACACACACACACATTCACACAACTACAAACACACGCAAACACACACACATACATACTTACTCACACACACACACACACACACACACACACACAACACACATACAGAGAGAGAGAGAGAGAGAGAGAGAGAGAGAGAGAGAGAGAGAGAGAGAGAGAGCGAAACGTACAAAAGATATTCAAATATCTGTCCGTCCAAAACATCGAGATCTCTACCAAATCGGTTCATTATACGACCCAATGGTGTTGTATCGAAAAACGACATGGGCGCATGCATTACACTTGATAGTATCTGACCGTGCAATTGATGGGCAGCCCGTCGGGCGCCGGCAATCAAACCAGTCAATGACATCATTGACAATACCATAAAGCCGGCAATCAGTCCGCCGTATATCGATAGATAGTAACCGGCATTGGCTCCGCTATGGATATCCGATGTCCATTTCGATAGCCAATTAAACGTTCCCATTAAGCAGCCAATGGTTCCCATTAGGCTTATCATAAATGTACAAAATAATAGTATAGTTGTTGAACGTATATATTTTATGTATACCTTTTTTTGAATTGAATTAAATTAATCAATAATAAATATAAAACAAATTAATTAATTATATATTAAATTTGTTAAAAAAAAAAATTAAATAATAATAATAATCCCAATAATAACTTACACTAAACTTAATACGTCCGGACTCTACCCGTTCTTCATCGATAAGCTGTGTCTCCGTAATGGTTGGTGTAGTCATCAATTGTTGGTCATTGCAAACGGTAGGTGCTATTGATATGCTGTTGTTGTTATCTATTATAATATTATCCGTCATATAATCGCTAACATCTCTAACATTATCATCAAAATCTTGTTGTTGTTGTTTTTCGTTATTATTTGTCGAGTATTGTGCGACCAAATCGGCAAACTCACGATTATCGGCCAACAGTTGTTCATAGGTACCGATAGCGGCTACTGAGCCGTCTTTCAATACGACAATACGGTCGACATCGGGCAATACAAACAGCTGATTGGTGGCCAAAATACGGGTCTTGTTTTTCAATAAACCGGTTCGTGAATCAAATACTTCGGTCATAATATGTTTGCCCACATGACTGTCCACTGAAAGTAATAAATTCATAAATAAATATTTGTCTAAAATAAAGTTTGTTTAAAAACCTGCGGATAACGGGTCGTCAAACAAATAGATGTCGGCATCGGAATAGACGGCCCGACATAAGCTGACTCTCTGTTTCTGACCGCCACTCAAATTGATACCCTTTTCGCCGATTTCGGTCTCATCTCCGCCGGACAGTTGACGAAGATCCTGTTCGAGAGCACAGGCACTCAGTACTTGCCTGTATCTAATCGGATCGTATGGTTTGCCAAACAGTATGTTGTCTTTGAGGGTTGCATTCTGTATCCATGCCTGTTGGGGAACATATGCCATACTATGGCCCTGTGCTATATTGACTGAACCGCCAATCAGTTCCATATCACCGATCAGTGCCGACATCAGTGAACTCTTGCCAGAGCCGACACCGCCGACCACTGCCACAAACATACCGTTACTGATGTCAAGATTTATGTTATTCAATGTAATGTTATTGTCAGTTGTGGTCGTTGTTATGCTTTTTATTGTTGTTGTTGTTTGCAAATCATTTTGGCTACCAATCCATGAAAGTGATGCCTTATCTATGGTTACAACAAATTGTTTGTTATAATTGTTTGTAACATAATTGTAATGTTCGGGTAATTTAAGAAAATCGTCGATACGTTTCAGTGATACATAAATCTATAATTTAACCAAAAAAATAAAATAAAATATTAAAAAAAATTTCATATAAAATATTATATATTAAAATAATAATAATAAAATTTACCATGCTGATCGAATTAAATGCATAGGGCAATAGTATAATGCTTAAATTAAGTATGTTAAATAGCGATACGGATACAAATATACGTTGGGCATTGATTTGGTCGCCCCCTTGCAATGCGGTAAACGTACCGAAAGTGGCCAACTGTGCCAACATTGGCGCCGAATAGGTCAGTGCGAGTGTCAATGCAAGCCATAAGCCGGCGGATAGCATATGTCTTAGTTCACGGTTACGTATTTTGTTAACCATTGACATATAGGGTACTTCCCAGGCATATAACTGCACGTATAAAAGACATATTAAAAATATTGTTATAATTTGTTAATTAATTTATTTATTTTAATTAACTTACTTTCAATATTTTCATACCATTCAGTATTTCGTTCATCAAATTTAGCCGACGATCCTTGAATTCAAACTGTTTTTGTTTAGCCGAACCATTGAATACGGTTAGAAATAGACTGATTGGTATAACGGCAATCAATAAGCCCAGTCCTACAAAAGCGGCCACACCTACTTGACGATAGATCAGATAGACGGCCAAACCGATCTGTATGGGTATTGTAAATATCAATTGCGGATATTGAAGATAGTCTAGATTTATTTTTTAATAAATAAAATTTAATATTTTTATTAGTATTAGTATTGTGCTAATACTGTAAATAGATAGATAAGTACAATCGATACCGTACCTAAAATACGTTGACAGTCAACTGTCATCAAATTAACAATTTCTCCATTAGGTGTGAGCCGTTTGCTATCATTGCTTAATACCAGTGCTTTGCGATATATGGCTGATGTTAGACACGATTTAACTCTTAATCCTTTATATAATGTGTTAATTAATGAAAATTAAATAACAAAAAGAATATATATATATATAATAAATAATAAAATTAGATTTTAAACTACTTTATTTTTTACTATTAGTGATATGCCAACACACACACACACACACACACACATACACACATACAAACAAACATATGCACACACACACACATATATATTCACACAAAAACACACACACACACTACCAAACATACACACACATACAAACAAACATATGTACACAAAGACACATACACACATACACACACACACTTACGCACACATAAATACACGTGCACACACATATACACACACATACACACACATACACACACATACACACACATACACATACACATACACATACACATACACATACACATACACACACATACACATACACATACACACACACATAAATACACGTGCACACACTTACATACACATGCATACACATGCATACACATGCAAACACATACACACATATACACACACTTACACATACATACATACACACACACACACACACAATCAATACATACCCATTGTATTGATTATTTCAAATGAATATGCGTTAAAAAAAGAGTAGACAACATTGGTTACAACTAACAGTACTGTATAGATATATCCGTGCCATTTATATTCATAATTGTCACCAACAAAATCAATTAATAATCTAAACCACACACAAAAAATAAAATTAATAATAGATTATATATATATATAACAGTTGAATGATTTTAGTTATTTAAAACAAAACAATTAAATCAAGTGTTTTAATCTTATTATAATTATTTATAGACAACATTATTGGTACTATCAATATGTAAAATTCTATGGGAATGTATAGTATTTTTCATACATTTTTTTATTGCATTTTTTTGCCAAATTCCCAATAAATTCCCATTAAATTCCCAACAGCTTCCCTCTAAATTCCAACTTAATTCCAATTAAATTCCCTATAAATCTTCGTTAAATTCTCAATAAATTAAGTAATAAAAATATTTCCAAATTAATTTATCAATAGTCAAAATATATTTTGGCGCCGAAAATTGGTAGGAGCCTACCTAACTTTTTCAATTTAGACCAGGCGGTAAGATACGATCTCATGGTGGGGGGGGGGGGGTGAGATGTTTTACCATACCCTACCCCACCCCTTTGGCAACCATTATTTTTACCTACTTGATAATAAGTGGCTGTACAGTTTGTATAGTATAGGCGGCCATAACCAATATAATTGGACCGATAATATCCAGGCCAAACATTTTGAATATGACCATGAACACACTAGTATGATGTTGATTATTTGTATCATAATGTTGATTGGTTATGTTGGTGGTGGTGTTGGTTGGATTTATTTGTAAAATAGTTTTGTCACTAATTTTTTCTACATTGAATTTTTTATTATTATTTAGAAACCAATGTTTTGCAAACATTTTATAATTAGTTAGACTACTGTCCACTGAACGCAATGGCCATAGATCTTGTAATTCTAGAGATTTTCGCCAACCGTTTATAAACAGCATATCTATCCAATGGTAGGTTATCTTTGATATAAAGGATACCCTCTCTCTTGGACACACTTTACGTTGTTGTTGGTGATGGCGATTGCTATAAGTGTCTGCTAACTGGCCATCCATATCTATTATCGGTAGTTTATCGGCAAATGTTGTTAAGATTAACAACAGTCCAGTCAATGAAAATGATATACATCTCAATATAAACTCATAGTATCTGAGCCTATCGTCCGGTGCTGTACTGTATGTAACAATGGATAGTATACTCAAAAGTGTATCAATCAATAGGTATAGCCAAACACAACCGCTTCGATGGACACCACAGCGGCGTTGGGCATAAAAAATGATACACAGGGCTAGTCTGGTAGCTGTTTGTATGGCTGTCATAATAATATAGGCCGTACTCGGACTGTCCAACCATTGATATTTGCGAACCAAACTGAATATTAGTTCAAAAAATAGGACAATTGTGCCGACAATTGTCAGACCTAAACGACTTGTGTTATATAAATTCCAATCAATTGATGGTTTGTCCGATGATTTAAAACAATTATAGATAATGTATGGAATGCTAAGCCATAGGAATATACAGGGAATCCATGCAAACCACGTCTGGATCATACATGAGCTCAGATGAGGATCGGGTGTATACCATGTTTGGTGACTATCCTGTATTATGTGTATGTTAATTTTAAATTAAGTATAAATTTTTTTATTAATATATTTAACTAGTAGATAGATTTTTTTTTAATAAACAATGTTATAAAAAAGTTATATTTTAATTATATAGTAATATTATTTTATTGAATTAATATATAATAATAATAATAATAATATTTACCCATAATTTTGTTGTACAAATATATTCAAACATATTTTCATATATTGTAAATAATTAATACACTTAAAATTAATAAGTAATATTAATATTTATTGTATTGTATTAAATTTTTATACTCTAGTATCATATAAAACTAAAATCTAATCAAACAACAAAAAAGCAATGATTTGACAAATAACAAAAAAAAATAGTTTAGTCATAAAAATTAATATTTATATGTTAAACAGTATAATAAAGTTATTATTTATATAAAAAAAACAGTTATTTATTAGTTTAACTATTTATATTTTCATACATTTAGTATATATTCAGATAATTTGAATTTTAAATATTTCTATTAATTACTTTAATTATTTTAATTATTCTTTTTATAAACAAAAATATATAAATCCTATTGAAAGACGTTTGTCATAAGGCGTTGTTCACATATTACGTTCGCAGTTTTTAAAAAATCTAGACCCCCCCCCTATGTTCGCAATTGTTCGCATGTAATGATATTTAAAAATTACGTTCGCATGTCCTTAACCCCCCCCCCACCATTTAAATAAATATTTTATAAAATTATTTTCACCTTTAAAATAATCAAATAATCAAATAAATTAATATTATTCAAAAGTCATATATTTATTCAAAATTAGTTATTAAACCGTTTATCAAAGGATTAAGTTTAATCAAAATTAATCCCTTAAATTCATTCATTATTTAAATGCGAACGTTCTTATAGACTTTACCCCCCCTCCCCCTCGTTCGCAAAAGTTCGCTTTGGCCGACCCCCCCCCTCAAGTGCGAACGTAATATGTGAATTAATTAGTTTTATTTTTTTTTAATTTATATTAAATTAAATATTTATAGTCATTTTATTATTAATATTATATATATTCAACTACTCAATAGAGTTATCTATTTGTTTGTTAAATAATTATTATTAATAATATATAATATTATTATATTATTATATTTAAATCTGCAATTAAATAATTCCGGCATCTTTGGCCAGTGTATAGAAAATTGTCGATTTGTTAGCCAACAAAACGTCGGGTTCGGCAAACTCAGCTACCCGTCCATCGTTGAACACTAGGACCCGATCCGAGTCCATAATAGTATTGATTCGGTGGGCAATTGTCAGTACAGTACACGTACTGAATTCCTGGCGAATGGTTCGCTGAATAAGTGCATCGGTTTCCACATCGACGGCAGCCGTGGCCTCGTCGAGGATCAGTACTGATGTATGTCGTAGTAGAGCCCGAGCCAGACATACAAGTTGTCGTTGACCAACACTAAGATTATCGCCCGATTCGCTAACCGGTGAGTCCAGCTTAGAGTCCAACGACTGGACAAACAGTTTGAGATGTGACTGTTCTAATACCGACCACAAGTCACTATCGGTATAACTGTCAAACGGATCCAAATTTGAACGAATAGTACCCGAATAGAGTACCGGTTCCTGTGGTATGATTGTCAACCGCGATCTTAACTCCTGGAGACCTAATTGGCTGATGTCGATGTCGTCGATAACAATGTTACCCATTGCCGGCTCAATTATACGAAACAGTGCCAATGTTAGCGATGACTTTCCAGCACCTGTGCGACCAACTATGCCTATCTGTTTGCATACACACACACACACACAAAGCAAATCAAATACTGTATTATTATAATTATAATAATTATATAATAATTATAATATACTTTACTATACTAGTAATTAAATACAGTATAATAATGAATAAAAATAATTTTGTTTGTTTGTTAGTCAACCATACCTTTTCACGGGGTTTAATGCAAACATCAATACCGCGTAACACCAGATCCAAACCGGGACGATATCGGGTACCGTAACCATCAAACCTAACCGAACCGCTAGACGGCCAATCAGTTGGCAATTCAACTGTCGACTGCCAGTCGGCTTCGGGTTTTAGTTTAGTATATTCATCCACCCGTTCCACTGAAACGATACAGTTTTCAATCAAAATAAATCCACGAATTAGACTCTCAAACGACGGCATCAAAGCTATGGCCAGCGATAGGCTTACGCCAATTGAACCGCCAGTTAGCCGATCTTTGGCCAGTACGGCAAACAGTGCGGCAAAAAATATCAATAGATTGCTTAGGACTGCCATCCGTATCTGTAGCCAACTGGTGGCCAAAACATTGGGAAACAAACACTTCTGATTGGCGTCCAATCGGGACTCTATTTCCCGTATAAACCTTTCGGAACATTGATAGGCCCGTACACTGGACAGACCGTTGACCGACTCTTCAAAGTGCGATATGATTCGCGATCGAGTAGTCGACTCTAATCTGTATTACATTTAATATTTTATTATAATTTTAATATAAAAATATTTTTTTTGTATACCTTTTTAATTGACGCGATGTGTTGATGTAAAATATCTAAAAATATTTATTTAAAAAAAATAAAAATAAACTTATAATACATTTGTTGTTTGGTATGAAAATAATTACCTGAAATAATATATATAATATGATAACAACAACAAGTGGGGCCAAAAATAGTGGCGTCACTATTGAAATATTGATTAGTCCGCCGATTAGTAATAAAAATTCGTAGAAAAACAAACTATAATTTTTGTTATACAAAAAATAAATAAATAAATAAACAAATAAATATTAAATTAGATAAAATATAGATAAAATAATTATTTTAAATTAATAAATTTCTATAAATTAATTATAAAATAGTCGGTCAATTAATCTTATAATTACGGGAGACGCAAGATTAATTGACTGACTATTTATATTGTATTAATACTGTATCTACAATATAATATAATGCATTATATATTCCGTATAATATATGATAACACTATTTAATAGATTTTTTTTTTTGAAAAAATAGTTTTTGTATTTCACGCATAGAGATATAGACACCCACATACATCCACACACAGACACACACATGCACACACATACACACCCACAATCACACACACATACACAAACATATACACCCACAATCACACACACATACACAAACATATACACCCACAATCACACCCACATACACACCCACAAATCCACATACACACACATATACAAAAACATACTAACACACACACACAATAGATACAAACAAGAGAGAGAGAGAGAGAGAGAGAGAGAGAGAGAGAGAGAGAGAAAGAGAGAAAGAGAGAAAGAGAGAAAGAGAGAAAGAGAGAAAGAGAGAAAGAGAGAAAGAGAGAAAGAGAGAAAGAGAGTGAGAGAGAGAACGTACAAAAGATATTCATATATCTGTCCGTCCAAAACATCGAGATCTCTACTGAATCGGTTCATTATACGACCCAATGGTGTTGTATCGAAAAACGACATGGGCGCATGCATTACACTTGATAGTATCTGACCGTGCAATTGATGGGCAGCCCGTCGGCTGCCGATAATCAATGCGGACAGTGACAGCATTGCCAATAGCATATAGGCGCCAATCAGTCCGCCGTATACCGACATATAGTAACGTGTATTGGCACCGTTATGGATATCCGATGCCCATTTCGATAGCCAATTAAATATACCCATTAGACAGCCAACGTTTCCCATTAGGCCGATTATAAATGTACAAAACATTAGTACGGTTGTTGAACGTATATATTTAATGTATACCTTATTAATTTAATTAATAAATTACAAAATTAATTAATTATCAATTAAATTAAAATCAATTAAATAATAATACATTGAACTTAATATGTCCGGACTCTACCCGCTCTTCATCGATAAGCTGTGTCTCCGTAATGGTTGGTGTTGTCATCAATTGTTGGTCATTACCATCGGTAGGTGCTATTGATGTGCTGTTGTTGTTGTCTTTATTGTGGTTATCTATAATAATAATAATAATAATAATAATCAGTTATGTTATTGTTTTTTTAAAATCAATACAATCTTCTTGTTGTTGTTCTTGGCTACTGTTGGCCGAGTATTGTGCGACCAAATCGGCAAACTCTTGATTATCTGCCAACAGTTGATCATAAGTACCGATAGCGGCCACTGAGCCGTCTTTCAATACGACAATACGGTCGACATCGGGCAATACAAACAGCTGATTGGTTGACAAAATACGGGTCTTGTTCTTCAATAAACCGGTTCGCGAATCAAATACTTCGGTCATAATATGTTTGCCCACATGACTGTCCACTGAATGATAAATAGATTCATAAATAAATATTTAAAAAAACTATTTGTCAAAAATATTTTTTTAAAAACCTGCTGATAACGGGTCGTCAAACAAATAGATGTCGGCATCGGAATAGACGGCCCGACATAAGCTGACTCTCTGTTTCTGACCGCCGCTCAAATTGATACCCTTTTCGCCGATTTCGGTCTCATCTCCGCCGGACAGTTGCCGAAGATCTGGTTCGAGAGCACAGGCTCTCAGTACTTGTCTGTATTTAATCGGATCGTATGGTTTGCCAAACAGTATATTGTCTTTGAGGGTTGCATTCTGTATCCATGCCTGTTGGGGAACATATGCCAGACTATGGTCCTGTGCTATGTTGACTGAACCGCCAATCAGTTCCATATCACCGATCAGTGCCGACATCAGCGAACTCTTGCCAGAGCCGACACCGCCGACCACTGCCACAAACATACCGTTACCGATATCAAGATTTATGTCAGTCAATGCATTATCGTTGGTGGTGGTGGTGGTTGTAGCTGTAGTTGACTTGATGTTAGTCGTTGTTGTTGTTGTTGTTTGTAAATCATTTTGACTACCAAACCATGAAAGTGTTGCCATATTAACGCTAACAGCATATTGTTTGCAATCATTGTTTGTAACATAATTGTAATGTTCGGGTAATTTAAGAAAATCGTCGATACGTTTCAGTGATACATATATCTATAATTTAAATCGAAAAAAATATAAAATATTATAAAATAGTAATAATAATTAAAATAATAATAATAAAATTTACCATGCTGATCGAATTAAATGCATAGGGCAATAGTATAATGCTTAAATTAAGTATGTTAAATAGCGATACGGATACAAATATACGTTGGGCATTAATTTTGTCGCCCCCTTGCAAAACGGTAAACGTACCGAAAGTGGCCAACTGTGCCAACATTGGCGCCGAATAGGTCAGTGCGAGTGTCAATGCAAGCCATAAGCCGGCGCACAGCATATGCCTTAGTTCACGGTTACGTATTTTGTTAACCATTGACATATAGGGTACTTCCCAGGCGTATAACTGTTGGCGTATAATAATTATAAAAATATAAACTTAATAATTTAAATAAGTATAGATTTTTAATTATTTTAAATATAAATAAATTTTTGTTTTGTTTTTTTCAATTAAAATGTTTTTTCAATTACTATGATTAATTTATTTTTTAAATTACTATTAATATGATTGATTATTTTAATATCAAAAATAAATAATTTAATTCTGATTAAACTTTTTAAACATTTAATTAATAATAACCAGCATTTAATAATTAATTGTTGTTTAATATTAATTAAATGTTGTTTAATATTAATTAAATGTTTTTTAATATTAATTAAATGTTGTTTAATATTAATTAAATGTTGTTTAATATTAATTAAATGTTGTTTAATATTAATTAAATGTTGTTTAATATTAATTAAATGTTGTTTAATATTAATTAAATGTTGTTTAATATTAATTAAATGTTGTTTAATATTAATTAAATGTTGTTTAATATTAATTAAATGTTTAAAAAGTTTAATGAGAATTAAATTATTTATTTATTTATTTTTGATATTAAAATAATCAATCATATTAATAGTAATTTTAAAAAATAACTTAATCATAGTAATTGTAAAACAATTTAATTGAAAAAACAAAACAAAAATTTATTCATGTATTAAATAAATTATATACTGTATATACAAAAAATGTTGTTTAATATATATTTTGTTTATTAATAAAATTTATTTATTTATTATAATTAACTTACTTTCAATATTTTCATACCATTTAGTATTTCGTTCATCAAATTTAGCCGACGATCCTTGAATTCAAACTGTTTTTGTTTAGCCGAACCATTGAATATGGTTAGCAATAGACTGATTGGTATAATGCCAATCAATATGCCCAGTCCTACAAAAGCGGCCACACCTACTTGATTGTAGATCAGATAGATGGCCAAACCAATTTGTATGGGTATTGTAAATAGCAATTGCGGATATTGAAGATAGTCTAGATTTATTTTTTAGTAAATAAAATAAAAATTTTTATTATTATGTATTATATACTGTAAATAGATAGATAAGTAGATACCGTACCGACAATACGTTGACAGTCAACTGTCATTAAATTAACAATTTCTCCATTAGGTGTGAGCCGTTTGCTATCATTGCTTAATACCAGTGCTTTGCGATATATGGCTGATGTTAGACACGATTTAACTCTTATTCCTTTATAATTAATGTTTATTAATGACAATAATTTTTTTTAAATATATAATAAATAACAAAATTTGATTTTAGACTACTTTAGTTTTTATTACTAATGTAATGCACACACACACATACATAAACACATACACACATACATACACACATTTACACACACATACATACAAATGCCCACACTTACACACACACATATATACATACACATTCACACAAACATACACACAAATGCACACACTTACACACACACATATATACATACACATTCACACATTTACACACACATACACACAAATGCACACACTTACACACACACATATATATACATACACATTCACACAAACATACACACAAATGCACACACTTACACACACACATATATACATACACATTCACACATTTACACACACATACACACAAATGCACACACACATATATACATACACATTCACACATTTACACACACATACACACAAATGCACACACTTACACACACATATATATACATACACATGCACACATTTACATACACACACACACACACACACACACACACACACACACACACACACACACACCAAATACATACAGTACATACCCACTGTATTGATTATTTCAAATGAATATGCGTTAAAAAAAGAGTAGACAACATTGGTTACAACTAACAGTACTGTATAGATATATCCGTGCCATTTATATTCATAATTGTCACCAACAAAATCAATTAATAATCTAAACCACACACACAGAAAAAAAACAATTAATTATTTTAATAATAGATTATATATGTAATTATTAAACAGTGTATTATTAAAATTATTATTATTACAGGTATTATTATTATTATTAGTAGTAGTAGTAGTTTATATAATCATAATATAGTTACTACTTATTTAGACTATAACAACATACTATCATATATTAAAATTAATAATATTCGGCTCATGTATGTGAAAATGTAGAGTATATGTCGACATACCCTTTCTCCCTGTCCACTACTAACCTCCTAATCCAACCCCATTCTATAATATTTATATACCTACTTGATAATAAGTGGCTCTACAGTTTGTATAGTATAGGCGGCCATAACCAATATAATTGGACCGATAATATCCAGGCCAAACATTTTGAATATGACCATGAACACACTAGTATGATGTTGATTATTTGAATCATAATGTTGATTGGTGATGTTGGTAGTGGTGGTGGTGTTGGTTGGATTTATATGTAAAATAGTTTTACCCCTAATTTTTTCTATGGCATTGAATGTTTTACTATTATTATTGTTATTATTATTTAGAAACCAATGTTTTGCAAATATTTTATAATTAGTTAGACTACTGTCCACTGAACGCAATGGCCATAGATCTTGTAATTCTAGAGATTTTCGCCAACCGTTTATAAACAGCATATCTATCCAATGGTAGGTTATCTTTGATATAAAGGATGCCCTCTCTTTTGGACACACTTTACGTTGTTGTTGTTGCTGATGGTTATGACTATAAGTGTGTGCTAACTGGCCATCCATTTTTATTATCGGCAGTTTATCGGCAAATGTTGTTAAAATAAGCAACAGTCCAGTCAATGAATATGACAGACATCTCAATACAAATTCATAGTATCTGAGCTTATCATCCGGTGCTGTAGTGTATGTAACAATGGATAGTGTACTCGAAAATGTATCAATCAATAGGTATAGCCAAACACAACCGCTTCGATGGACACCACAGCGGCGTTGGGCATAAAAAATGATACACAGGGCTAGTCTGGTAGCTGTTTGTAAGGCTGTCATAATAATATAGGCCGTACTCGGACTGTCCAACCATTGATATTTGCGAACCAAACTGAATATTAGTTCAAAAAATAGGACAATTGTGCCGACAATAGTCAGACCTAAACGACTTGTGTTATATAAATTCCAATCAATTGATGGTTTGTCCGATGATTTAAAACAATTATAGATAATGTATGGAATAGTAAGCCATAGGAATATACAGGGAATCCATGCAAACCACGTCTCGATCATACATGAGCTCAGATGAGGATCGGGTGTATACCATGTTTGATGACTATCCTGTATTATGTTATGTTAAATTAATTTATTATAAATTAATTATAAATTTTATATTAATATATAATATTAATATATAACTACTGGATATATTTATTTAATAAATAATATTATGATATATTAAATATTAAAAAGTTATACTTTTATTATTATTTAATATATAATAATAATAATATTTACCCATAATTTTGTTGTACAAATATTTTCAAACATATTTTGCTTATATTATAACTAATTAATATTTTAAATGTATTGTATAAACATAAATGTGTTAAAACAATATTTCAATTTTAATATTATTGTATAAAACTAAAATCTAATCGAAAATTGTTTTTTAAATTAATTAATTAATTTTTATTCAATGATTTGACAAATAGCAAAAAAAATAGTATATAGTCATAAAAATAAACATTTCTAATGTAATTAGTCTAGGTATTTATTTAAAAAAAAACTATAAAATAATAATAATAATAATATTTATTAAGTTTTAATTACATAAACTATAAAAAATATTAATAATAATAATAATAATAATAGTTAATGACCTATAGCTGCTGTTAATTAATATTGTGAAATAAATAACTTACTTATTATTATATTATAATATATATTAATAATTAAATATAATGTCACAATGATCATGATAAATTATAACTAATATCACTAATATTAGTATACCCCCCCATCCCCATCCCTACCCCTACCCCACCATTCTATACTAAACTATTTTCATACATTAAGCATACAATCAGGTTCATTGAATTTTTTTTATATATGTCTTGACTATAAGTTATTTTAAATATTTTTTTTATCATAAAAATAAAATATAAATTAAAATCTGTTTGTCATCGATAAGTATATCTTGAAAATTTCAGTCAACTTGCGATCAGTTTAATCACATTTCAAATTTCAGTCATTTTTTGTTTGTTTTGTTTTATAATCAGTAAACGATTAATTAGATTTTGAAAATTTCTAATTAAAAAAAAATAACAAAATTTATGATAAATTAAATATTTATAATCATATTAATATTAATATATATATATATAAATTTATATGTCAACTCAATAGACATATCTATTTATTTGTTAAATAAATAATAATAATAATAATATAATATACTGTATATATTTGTTTTAATTATATATTTAGGTTATTATTTATATTATTAAAATATATTAATATTTACCCATAATTTTGTTGCATAAATATTTTCATATAATAAACATATCTGAGATAACAAATCTAACATTGGATTAATTAATAAAAAATAAACTACTAATAAATATTAAAAGCAATTAAAATTAAAACTAAAATTTAATCATAAATTTTATTAATAAAAATAAGAGTTAGTGAAAAACAAATAAATATTTATATTTCAGGTTTAAAAACAATATTTAATTAATAAAAAAATAATAACATTTAATAATAATGATTAACAAAATACATATAAATTTATTATAAAATAATAATCAATATTTTGTTTTCAAAAAACTTTACTAAATAACTATAAATATTTTTTGTCAATAATCATATACAGTATAATTATAGTTAAATAATAAAATTATAAATTCATAGATTTTTAATTTTTTTTTTAAATAAATTAAGTAATGTTATCTATATAATAATAATAAATAATATTAAATAAAAGTAAATATATTATAAAAATTTTTTTAAATGGATATAGATAAATTTATATAAAAATAATATTTTTATTTAAATCTATTTATTTAAATAATTCCGGCATCTCTGGCCAGTGAATAAAATATAGACGACTTGTTGGCCAACAAAACATCGGGTTCGGCAAACTCGGCTACCCGTCCATCGTTGAACACTAGGACCCGATCCGAGTCCATAATCGTATTGATTCGGTGGGCAATTGTCAGTACAGTACACGAACTGAACTCCTGGCGAATGGTTCGCTGAATAAGTGCATCGGTTTCCACATCGACGGCAGCCGTGGCCTCGTCGAGGATCAGTACTGATGTATGTCTTAGTAGAGCCCGAGCCAGACATACAAGTTGTCGTTGACCAACACTAAAATTATTACCCGATTCGCTAACCGGTGAGTCCAGCTTAGAGTCCAACGACTGGACATACTGTTTGAGATGTGACTGTTCTAATACTGACCACAAGTCACTATCGGTATAACTGTCAAACGGATCCAAATTTGAACGAATAGTACCCGAATATAGTACCGGTTCCTGTGGTATGATTGTCAACCGTGACCTTAACTCCTGGAGACCCAATCGGCTGATGTCGATGTCGTCGATAACAATGTTACCCATTGCCGGCTCAATGATACGAAACAGTGCCAATGTTAACGATGACTTTCCAGCACCTGTACGGCCAACAATACCTATCTGTATAAATACAATAGCAAAATAATTGTATTTATAATCTACTATTAGATAAATTTTTTTACTATATTTTAATATCGTTATTACAAACTATTTAATTTAAACTTAAAAAAGTAAAGCTGTATAACAATAAAGTTAATAATAATTAATTAATTAATTAATTATTTTATTTTATTTACTATACCTTTTCACGGGGTTTAATAGATACATCAATACCGCGTAGAACCAGATCCAAACCGGGACGATATCGGGTACCGTAGCCATCAAACCTAACCGAACCGTTTGGCGGCCAATTAGCTGGCAGTTCAACTGTCGATTGCCAGTCGGCTTCGGGTTTTATTTTTGTATATTCATCCACCCGTTCCACTGAAACGATACAGTTTTCAATCAATATATACGATTTGATCAGATTCTCGAACGACGGCATCAGTGTTATGGCCAACGATAGACTAACACCTATCGAACCGCCAGTTAGGCCACCCTTTGACAGTACGGCAAACAGTGCGGCAAAAAATATCAATAGATTACTAATGATTGCCATCCGTATCTGTAGCCAACTGGTGGCCAAAACATTGGGAAACAGACACTTCTGGTTGGCGTCCAATCGGTACTCAATTTCCCGTATAAACCTTTCGGAACATTGATAGGCCCGTACACTGGACAGACCGTTGACCGACTCTTCAAAATGCGATATGATTTTCGATCGAGTAGTCGACTCTAATCTGTATTTACATAACAAATAATTTTTAATATTTTTAAAACTAAAAAATAAGTTGAAAATTGAAAATACCTTTTTAATTGACGCGATGTGTTAATGTAAAAAACCTAATATTTAAAAAAAAAAATTAATTTATCAAACAATACTACAATAATTGTTATTTGGTGTGTTTGTATGTGTGTGTGTGTGTTTGGGTGGGTGGGTGTTAGCTATAAAATAAAAACTTACCTGAAATAACAAAAATATAACGATAGCAACAGCGAGTGGGATCAAAAATAGTGGCGTCAATACAGATATGTTGATTAGTCCGGCAATTAGTGTCAATAACTCATAGAAATATAGACTAATAATAATAATAATAATAATTTATATATATTAGAAAATCAAACATTATTATTATTTATAGAGAGAAAGAGTGAAAGAAAGAGAGAAAGAAATAGAGAGAGAAAGAGAGAAACAAAGAGAGAAAGAGAGAGAAACAAAGAGAAACAAAGAGAGAGAAACAAAGAGAAACAAAGAGAGAGAAACAAAGAGAGAAAGAAAGAGAGAGAGAGAGAGAGAGAGAGAGAGAGAGAGAGAGAGAGAGAGAGAGAAAGAGAGAAAGAAAGAGAGAGAAAGAGTGAAAGAAAGAGAGAAAGAAAGAGAGCAATACATACTAAAGATATTCATATATCTGTCCGTCCAAAACATCGAGATCTCTACTGAATCGGTTCATTAAACGACCCAATGGTGTTGTATCGAAAAACGACATGGGCGCATGCATTACACTTGTAAGTATCTGACCGTGCAATTGATGGGCAGCCCGTCGGGCGCCGCTAATCAAACCGGTCAGTGCTACCATTGTCAATAGCATATAGGCGGCAATCAGTGCGCCGTATATACCCATATAGTATGATGTTTTGGAGCCGTTGCCGATATCCGATGTCCATTTCGATAGCCAATTGAATGTACCCATTAAGCAGCCAATGGTTCCCATTAAGCCAATTATAAATGTCAAAAACAATGGTACGGTTGATGAACGTATATATTTAAGGTATACCTGTTTTTTTGTTGTTGAATTGAATTAAATTATATAAAATAATTAACACACAAAAAATAATTGTAATAAAACACTTGTAATAAATAAATTATCAATTAATTAAAATTAATTAATAATAACTTACACTAAGCTTAATATGTCCGGACTCTACGCTCTCTTCATCGATAAGCTGTGTTTCCGTAATGTTTGTTGTGGTCACCAATTGTTGGTCATTACCATCGGTAGGTGCTGTTGATGGGCTGTTGTTGTTGTCTTTATTGTGGTTATCTATAATAATAATAATAATAATAATATCAGATATGTCATCGTTTTTTTTTAAATCATTACAATCTTGTTGTTGTTGTTCTTGACTACTGATGGCCGAGTATTGTGCGACCAAATCGGCAAACTCTCGATTATCTGACAACAGCTGTTCATAGGTACCGATAGCGGACACTGAGCCGTCTTTCAATACGACAATACGGTCGACATCGGGCAATACAAACAGCTGATTGGTAGACAAAATACGGGTCTTGTTTTTCAATAGACCGGTTCGCGAATCAAATACTTCGGTCATAATATGTTTGCCCACATGACTGTCCACTGAAAGTAATAAATTCATAAATAAATATTTGTCTAAAATAAAGTTTGTTTAAAAACCTGCGGATAACGGGTCGTCAAACAAATAGATGTCGGCATCGGAATAGACGGCCCGACATAAGCTGACTCTCTGTTTCTGACCGCCGCTCAAATTGATACCCTTTTCGCCGATTTCTGTTTCATCGCCGCCAACCAGTTGATGGAGATCTGGTTCGAGAGCACAGGCTCTCAGTACTTGTCTGTATTTAATCGGATCGTATGGTTTGCCAAACAGTATATTGTCTTTGAGGGTTGCATTCTGTATCCATGCCTGTTGGGGAACATATGCCAGACTATGGCCCTGTGCTATATTGATTGAACCGCCAATCAGTTCCATATCACCGATCAGTGCTGACATCAGTGAACTCTTGCCAGAGCCGACACCGCCGACCACTGCCACAAACATACCCTTACCGATATCAAGATTTATGTCAGTCAATGCATTATCGTTGGTGTTGTTGGTTGTAGTTGTGTTGATGTTTGTTGTTGTTGTTGTTGTTTGTAAATCATTTTGGCTACCAATCCATGAAAGTGTTGCCATATTAACGCTAACAGCATATTGTTTGTTATAATTGTTTGTAACATAATTGTAATGTTCGGGTAATTTAAGAAAATCGTCGATACGTTTCAGTGATACATAAATCTATAATTTAACCAAAAAAAAAAATAATTATAAAATTTTCATATAAAATATTATATATGAAAATAATAATAATAAAATTTAATAAATCTGTTATATTTATGGAAAAATATTTTATCAATATATATATATATATATATATATATATATATATATTGTATATATAATAAATAATAATAATAATAATTACCAAACTAAATGAATTTAATGCAAACGGCAATATAACAATACTTATGTTAAGTAAGTTAAACAACGATACGGATACAAATATACGTTGGGCATTGATTTTGTCGCCCCCTTGCAAAGCGGTAAACGTACCGAAAGTGGCCAACTGTGCCAACATTGGCAACGCATTGGTCAGCGCCAGTGTAATCGTAAACCAGATGCCGGCGCACAGCATATGTCTTAGTTCACGGTTACGTATATTGTTAACCATTGCCATATAGGGTACTTCCCAGGCGTATAGCTTGAATTAATTAATTAATTAATTAATTAATTAATTAATTATTAATTTAGTTAATTTTTTTTAATGAAATTATAATCAATATAAAATAATTATATAAATATTGTTAAAACTACTAATTAACTTACTTTCAATATTTTCATACCATTTAGTATTTCGCTAATTAAGTTAATCCGATTGTCTTTCAATTCATATTGTTTTTGTTTGGACAGACCATTGAATACGGTTAGTACGAAACTGATCGGTATAATGGCAATCATCATACCCAGGCCTACAAAAGCGGCCACACCAAGCTGCTGCCAGATAAAAAATACAGCCAAACCAATTTGTATGGGTATTGTAAATAGCAATGGCGGGTATAGAAGATAGTCTAGTTTCGTTTTTATTTAGTTAATTAAAAATAAATAAATCAATTATATTAAATATATTATTATTATTATTATTGGTATGTATAGTAAGTACTGTACCTATAATACGTTGACAGTCAACTGTCATCATATTAACAATTTCTCCATTAGGTGTGAGCCGTTTGCTATCATTGCTTAATACCAGTGCTTTGCGATATATGGCTGATGTTAGACACGATTTAACTCTTATTCCTTTATAATTATAATTAATAACCAAAAATTAAATAATAATAATAATAACATTTTTTAGTCTAATTTATAAATTAGATTTTTAATACTAATGTAATGCACACACATACACATGCAAACACATACACACACTTACGCACACATAAATACACGTGCACACACATACATACACATACACATACACACACATACACATACACACACACACACACACACACACACACTTACGCACACATAAATATACGTGCACACACATACACACACATACACACACATACACACACATACACACACATACACACACATACACACATACACACATACACACTTACGCACACATAAATACACGTGCACACACATACATACACATGCATACACATGCACACACATACACACATATACACACACTTACACATACATACATACATACACACACACACACAATCAATACATACCCATTGTATTGAATATTTCATATGAATATGCATTACAAAAAGAGTAGATAACATTAGTTAAAACTAACAGTACTGTATAGATATATCCGTGCCATTTATATTCATAATTGTCACCAACAAAATCAATTAATAATCTAAAAAATAAATAAAAATTATTAAAATTAGATTTTTTAAGTAGCATATATATTTGTTTACTATAATTATCATAATTATTTACAGTATAAGTTTTAATTTATTAGGTAAAATTTATTACAGTTTGTCTACTATAGTAAATAATAATACTAAAATAAAATAATTATTAATTAAATTTAATAGACTTTATATAAGTTATAATATTATGATTATAGATATTAACACAAATAGTTATTTTTTTTAAAATTCACGAAAATATGTTTGAAATAAATAGCTATTAAATATAACATTACTAATAACAATATAAACAACTAGTTTTTAAGTTATAGTAAAAAAATTTTATGACAAAAATTTTTTGTTGTTGACAATTTTTCAATAATATACTAAACACTTAATTTTTAACAACACTAACTATATTATCTATAGATACTATAATTAATTTATATTAAATAAAATAAAATTATTTAGTTTCAATAGTATATATAAACAAACAATATTAAATGCTATAACTAACAAAACACTTAGCGCAATGTGCAGCTCATGTATGTTTGTTTGGTGTTAGTAGTCTACTACATACATACACCCCCTCCTCTCCCACACACCCACACCCCTCCATAACCCTATACCTGTACCTACTTGACAATAAGTGGCTGTAGGGTTTGTAAAACATAGGCAGACATTAGCAATATTATTGGACCGACAATATCCAGGCCATACATTTTGAATATGACCCTGAACAAGCTAGTATGATGATGCTGATGATGATTATTAGGATTATATTTGTGCTTGGTGGTTGGATTTATATGTAAAATACTATTGCCTCTAGATTTTTCTAGTAAATTGAATTTATTTCCATCAATGTAATTTGTTGTTGAATTACTACTACTACTAATAATATTATTATTATAGTTATTATTTATAAACCAATATTTTTCAAACATTTTGTAATTTTTTAGACTACTATCCACTGAACGCAATGGCCATAGATCTTGTAATTCTAGAGATTTTCGCCAACCGTTTATAAACAGCATATCTATCCAATGGTAGGTTATCTTTGATATAAATGATGCCCTCTCTCTTGGACACACTTTAGGTTGTTGTTGGTGTTGATGATGACTGTAAGTGTGTGCTAACTGGCCATCCATTTCTATTATCGGCAGTTTATCGCCAAATGTTGTTACGATTAACAAAAGTCCAGTCAATGAATAGGACAGACATCTCAATACAAATTCATAGTATCTGAGCTTATCATCCGGTGCTGTAGTGTATGTAACAATGGATAGTGTACTCGAAAATGTATCAATCAATAGGTATAGCCAAACACAACCGCTTCGATGAATACCACAGCGGTGTTGGGCATAAAAAATGATACACAGGGCTAGTCTGGTAGCTGTTTGTAAGGCTGTCATAATAATATAGGCCGTACTCGGACTGTCCAACCATTGATATTTGCGAACCAAACTGAATATTAGTTCAAAAAATAGGACAATTGTGCCGACAATAGTCAGACCTAAACGACTTGTGTTATATAAATTCCAATCAATTGATGGTTTGTCCGATGATTTAAAACAATTATATATAATGTATGGAATAGTAAGCCATAGGAATATACAGGGAATCCATGCAAACCACGTCTCGATCATACATGAGCTCAGATGAGGATCGGGTGTATACCATGTTTGGTGACTATCCTGTAGTCAATAACGATATGATAATTTAGTATATTATTTATTGATATATTTAGTAATATATCATTATACTAATATATAAAGTATTTTTTAAAAATATATTAGTATTTACCCATAATTTTGTTGTACAAATATTTTCAAGCATAGCTAGAAATTTAATTTATTAATTAAAAAAAACAATAAAAACTATTACTTAAACACTTAATACAATTGAATTAAAAAATATTATTATTATTATTATTAAACATATAATATTCAATATTTAAATATATATATATAAATTCAATATATATATATAAAAATTATTATAATTAAAAAACTTAATAAAATAATTACAATCTTGACATATCTTTAAATGAAAACTGCAAAAAAAACTAATCATAATTTTAGTTTATTTATTTTTTACATATATTATTTTGTATAATGATTTTTCAAATAGTTTACATAAAATAAATAAATAAATCAACAAAGTTTAATGACAAGTAAATAATTTATAATCAACAAAATATTTATTGCAAAATAACAATTACAAATAAAATACAGAAATTTTTATAAATTATTTATTAAAATTAATATAATAATAAAATATTTTTTATTAAGAAAATATATTCAATATCTAAATAATAAAATTCAATAAATTATTAAAATACTTAATTTATAAAAAAAATTATTAAAGATTAATTAAATTCAATAATATATGATAGTTACTAAATTTTTTTAAAAATACACAATCACATAATCACACACACACACACACACACACACACACACACACACACACACACACACACACACACACATACATACACACACATACACACACATACACACACATACACACACATACACACACACATACACACACATACACACACACACATACACACATACACACACATATACAGTATATATACACACACATAGCAAGTATTATTTAATATTATAATAAATTATATATATATTTCAAATAGTATTTTCATATTAATCAATTTTATTATGTTTTTTATATCAAATAGATAATAAAGTAGATTGAATAAAATAACTACAAAAAAAATCAATAACAATTTTAATAGTGCATATTAATATTTATATATATATATATATATATATATATATATATATATATATATATAATGATATATTTATAAACAACAAAATATTAAGCACTATGCAACAATTTATTTGTGTATATATTTTTTACTGTGTATAAACAGTACACCTGTATACTATTCAAAATAATAATACAATACATTAATAATAATAATAATCATAATCATAACAACCAAACATATTTATTGATAAATAGGGGAAAAAATAACATTTCTAACAAAACATATAGTTTATATACAAAACATTTTTATGATATATTAATATATATATATATATATATATATATATATATATATATATATATATATATATATATTATATAGATATATAGTTAGATTTCATTTAATCATTTTTTTAGGTTAGAATTTTCTATTTTAGTTCAAGAATATTCTCTCTAATAATAATACATTTAATGAATATATATATATATACTCTGAATACTAAATACATATACTATTTATATCTATAAATACTAAATAATTTTTATATAAAAAAAATATTATTTAACTCTAATTTAGTTCAAAACTAATTTGTTGATATATCTATACATTCACAACAATTACTAATAATAATTAATTATCAAATATAATGAAAACAGCAATAAGTATGTATTAAAATTAATTTATTTTTGTTTGTTTGTTTGTGTTTAATATTCAACTAATTAATTAATTAATTAATTAATATATTTATATACAGTTTTAAGCATTTTATTGTTGGCCACCTCTATATTTATCGCTGGTTTCAGTTATGATTACTATTTATACAAAATGATAAATGAAGTTCACATAATGTTATACGTATTTTTCATATTTATATTTATATCATTTTTGATGATGTTTTAAGTTAACAATTTTTAATTGTAATTATTATTTTATCAATATTTTTATGTTTATTTAATTATTTTATTTATATTAATTAATTAATTATAATATTATGTTTATAACATCATACATATATAATCTAACATAAACGCACATATTGTACACCCAATGAATAATTAATTAATTAATTATTGTTTTATTTTTCACATATTTATTATTTTTTATAAAATTTATAAAATGTTTAAATTTTCAATGTAAAAGCACACTAATATTAATTATTAATCATAGATAATAATAACAATTATTTTTTTTTTAAAAAAAGGTAATCAAACAAACAAACAAACAAAAATTAATTTATAAAATGTTTTATTATTATTATTATTTTTGAATTATTTGAATTATTTCAAATCACATTGTATTTTACTTAAACTAAATGTTTATATGATGTTATTTTTTTTAGTTATAAATTATTTTAGTCTAAACATATTTTATCATATATTATACACATATACATAAAAAAATTTAAAATTATAAAAAATATTTATTGAGTATATGTATTTTTTAAAAATTTAAAATATTATATTAATTTAATGTATATGTAATACATGTATAATACATTATAATAAATCTAACAATCATGACAACCAAACAACAACAATAATAACAAAACAAATGTTTTTTTAAAACTATTAATATATTAAAAACAATTTTTTATATCATATAAATACTATAATTTAATTATTTGTTATTTCAAAAATATTTTACAAATTGTACACATAATGTAAAATTCCAATAAATTATTGATAAAAAAAATATTAAAATTAATTATTTTAAAAACAAATTGTTTATTAAAAAAAACCAAATAATATTCAAAAATAATTTTAGTATATACTGTATATTATTTATATATTAATATATATATATATATATATGTATAATGTTGTGACAAAATGTTAACTATTAATAACAATGCAATCAGAGAAATAGTTATGTTAATTATTATTATTTTATAATAATTTTTTTTTGTTGATAAATTAATATCAATGAATATCTAATTTGATTAATTAATTAATTAACAAATTAATTAATTAACATATTTAGTGATTATATTAATTGTTTAGTTGACCCTTACCTTGACTACTACCTGAGCCCATACAATGGCTACTAACCAACTATTATAGTGTTGTTTATATATCTAACCATAAATTTATGTCATTATTATTATTAATAATATTATTACAATATATTATTAATAACTWATAAACATAAAAAATTATTGCTATAATTTTTAATTTTCTACTTAATTATAAATATGATAAATTCTTAAAATATTTGAAATTTTATTATATTATTATTAAAGTTATTATTTTATTAGCTATATTTTCTACATAATTTAATTATTATTATTTTATTTTATAGTCCTATTTATTTATTAATAAAATAATTAAACTGTTTGAAAATTTTGTAAACATTAAAAAAAAATTATATGCACTTAAATATAATTAAAATTAACTGTAATGTAATCAAATGATATTATTATTATTATTATAAACAATATTTATTAAAAATTTTTAGATATAAATCTATATATTTAATAAAAATCTTACCTATTTATTCAGATATCTATTTATAATAATAAAATTAAACTATAAATAATAATTATAATAAAAAATAATATAGATTAAACAAATTATCTCATATTTATAAGATTTTATTAGATAATAAAAATATATATATATTTTAGAAATACTATAAATTATTTATCATAATCACTGATATTATCACTGTTTTATTGTAAACATAGGTGGAAATTATGTAATTAATTATTAGTATTTTACAAATTAGTTTTTCTACTTAATTATATATATACACAGTAATAAATAACATAAATATTTGCAATTTTATGATTTAAAAAACAAAAAAATATATTTTTATTATATGGCATTTTCTACATAATTAAAATTTCAAAAAGTTTTATAGTTTATATTTTTTGAATTAATAAAATAAATAGACTATAATTATATTAAAAATTATTTATTTTTTTCAATTGAAATTATTTTAAAACATAATGTATTTAGAAATTAAATGTTTGATAATATTATAAACAATTTTTTAGATAATTTTTAATATATAAAAATAATTATAAATATTTTCAAAAAAAATAAAT